GCCTCTGGGGAGCGGCTGTGCCAGCCTCTCCTCTCCAGGGTCCCTCCATGGGCCTGCGTGGTCACCCCTCTGCGTGGCCGGCAGGGCTCAGCCTGCGTGCGTCCCGGTGGCCCTGTCGCTGGTGCGTCGCCATGGAGACGTGCCGTCTGGGCCCCTGGGGTTCACTGACCGGCCACGGCCTGGGCGGGGCTCCTTGGGGGCGTCTCGGGCCTGGCCTCAGCCCCACTGCTCTGCAGGACTGGCCAGCAGGAAGGAGGGGCCTGGCCCCAGTGGCCTCTTCCCGCCCTGCAGTCCAGCTTCCTCTCGTACTATTTATAGGCGGGTGTGAGCGCCGCCGACGGGGCTTCCTTTCTCACGAGGGGAAAGGGCCTTCCGCGGGGTGGGGTGCGGCCAGGCATCCGCACCCCTGGGAGCAGCGGTGTCCTGGGGCTGTGTCCTCAGCGGACTGTTTACCTGGGCATAGGTGGCTGGGCCAGCGGTCAGCCAGGCCCCCACTCTGTGGGGCCCACCTGCCCCCTCCTGTCCCTTAGGCAGGTCAGGTCAGAGCGCGGGGCCTGCATCCCCACCCCGACACCACAGGGGTGCAGGAGGCCTGGGTGACCCTCTCTGTGTGGTGCCACCAGCCCCCTTGCTGGACCTGCCCTGTGCTCCCCACCCTGCTCCGCCACCTCCTGTCCCTGCCGCGGCTCTCAGCTGGCCATCAGGGGCCTCAGAAAGGCCCCTCCCAGGGGTCTCTCCGCTGCTGGCTGCCCGCCTGGAGTCCACAGTGGACTTGGGCACCCACCGTGACCCCGCTGGCTGCAGGGGGCAGGTGACAAGGCCGCTGGCCTCGGCCCCTGCTCCTCCAGCGGCCCTGCCGGGGGATGGGGTTCAGGCGCCCTGGCCATGCAGGCACACGGCACAGGGACTCGCCCCAGAGGCCTGCACCCAGGCTGGCCCCATGGGTGTGGGGGAAGCCGAGTGGGGGTGGGCGCCGTGCCCAGGAGTGAACGCCACGCCTCTCATGGGGACGGGGCGGGTCCCCGAGGGGTGTCACCTCCGGTTTCCCTCTGAGTTGGGGGGTCTTCCCTCGCTTGGCGGCAACGGGGCATCAGGGCTGGCTCAGGGTGCACGGCAGGCTGTGAGGGGCCCCCAGAGCCCCCATCCCCGTCCCCTTCCTGTGTCCCCTGCTGTCCAGCCGTCCTCCGCTGCTGCCCGGCGCCCAGTGCAGTGGGAGTGCCATGGGCGCGGGCTGTGGGGGCGGCAAACTGGGATGCGGGCGGGGGCCCCAGCTGCGTCTGGAGGGCGGGGTGCAAGCCTGCAGGCAGGCTCGGCCCAGCGCCGGGCCTCGGGGGCCCAGGCAGACGGGTCTCTGGCTCCCCCGGCCGAGTCTGCAGCCCGGGGCAGCCCCGCTGCTCCCCTTCTTCCCCGAGCTCGCTGCCGGGCAAGGAGCGGCTTCGTCCCTCGGCTTGTGCGACACCCGCCGCGGGGGCTGGGGTGCCAGACTCAGACGTGTGGGAAACAGGCAGACCTCGAGGCGCCGGCCACTCAGAGGGACCCAAGGACCCCACACGCCGAGCTCACCGCCTGAACCCCCACACGTGTTCTGGGACATTCGGTGTTTTTGCTGTTGAACAAGAGGTAATAAAAGTAAGAGAAGCATTTAACTCGAAAAGCGAACGCAGAGCCGTGCCGTAGGGACGAGAAGGGAGGAAATCCAGAAGAACTGAGTTGCAGAAGTGCTGCGAGTTGCGTGAACACTAGCAAACGAGTGCTTGAGGGCGCTGCTTATTTGAGAGCGGGCTGGAGGCAGAGGCTGGAGGCGGAGGCTGGAGGCGGAGGCTCGGGCAGCCCTAGGACAGGACGGGAAGCGCCCCCTTGGCCGCCTGCCGGGCTTTAGATCCGGTCTTCCCGGGGACAGCGCCGCAGGGGAAAGCTGAACGGGGCGAAATGCGTGCAGCTGTTTCTTCCTGTGGCACACCCACTCACAGTCCCGAGGGCAGATTCGTCTTCTGTGCCGTGGAACAAATCAGCAGAAACTTCGTGGCTCACAAGAGCCCTCATGCACCCGCTCCGCTCTCGGGGGCAGGGGCCCCAGCACGTGTTCTCATCCGGGACCTGCCTGGGGAGGGTCTGTCGGCTGCTTCTGGTGCCTGTGGCCAGAATCCTCTCCTGTGGCTGTGGGACTTGGGGCCAGTGGGGGAGAGGCCTCTGACCTTTAGATCTTTCAATGGCTCACCTGATACCTGGTAAGGTCAGACGTGCCCAGGATAACGCACCTTTTGTTTGTAAGATGAACTAAGTTTGGGATTTAATAATATCTGCAGCATCCCTTCACCGTTGCCCACGGTGGCATCCAGTGCTGGGAGGGGTGTCTCCCCACGGTCTCCAGTCTCCCGCACTGGGGGGCTTCCCTGATGTGCTCAACGGGGCCGGAGGCTGGACGGCGCCTCCTGCAGCGCGGACCTCTCGAGTCCTGCGCTTGAGAACTTTCTCGCTGCGGGCGTGGATCGTGTGGAAGAACTCCGCTCTGCGCGCCGTAGGCCTTTGTGGGTTCTCTTCTCGTTACACCTCTTCACGGCAGTCCAGAATTTTGACCTGTGACGTTTTCCCCCTCTCTGAAGAACTTTCTGAACCATCACCTTCAAGGCAGGTCAGCCAGCAGTGGGTTTCCTCCGTTTGTCTGAGGAAGAACTTTTTCCTCCTCCAAGTTGGAAAAATGAGGGTGCTGGATACAAAAGTCTAGGTTGGTGATTTTTGCCTTCACTGCTGGAAACGTCCCACTCCATTTTATCCTCTCACTTGTGTGGTTTGGTCTTTGTTTTGATACAGATTAGCTGTGCTCTTTCTTCCCACTTGTAACATTTTCTTCTTCCCTCTGGTTTTCAGCAGTTCACTAGGCATCGCACGCCCAGGAGTATGTTTTGAGGTATTTACCCTACTTGGCTTCTGGAAGCTTTTGGATCTTTGGTTTGGTGTATGTCGTTTATCTCAAAAACTCTGCCATTCCCTGAGTTTTCTACCCGCTCTCTTCCTTGGTGGGCGTTCCCATGGTGTGTGGCTTATATACATCTTTTGAGATTGTCCCAGAGCTCTGTGATTTTTTTCTCCCCCTTTCAGTCTTGGACGCTTCTGCTGACGTGACTCCAGCTCACTTAGTGTCCTTGCTGTTCCGTAGCTTGTGAGCCTCCAAAGGCTTCTTCGCTTCCTTACAGAGATTTGATTTCTGGGGCCACCTCTAGATTCTTTCTTAGAGTTCCCGTCACTCTGCGTCTGTCACCACCTATCCCCGCATGCTGTCCACTTTTTCATGAGAGCCCTTGACATACTACTCGGTCACCTTAGATTCCCTTTCTGGTCATCCGATGCCCCTGTGTGGCACCAGGATGCACTTCCTTGCCCTTGTGGTGCTTTTGCTCGTTGAAAGCTGCAGTATTGGTGACAGGCACCGAGGTCTAGCCCTCCGACGAGGTATGGTGGGGTCCTCTTCTGAGGTGCGAGGAGAGTCCGTGTCCTCCCCTCCTTCAGCAGGACAGGGAGTGCCCCCCGTCGTCAGTAAATCTGCCTGTTGGTGGGCCTGTGCCCCAGGGTGGTGGCCTGCCCTGCATCTCTTACCCCAACCCCAGCCCCTAGGTGAGACCAGTTGGGGAAACGGTGGCCTAGAGGGATTGGCTCCGGTAAAGTCTTCCCTCTTGCAGAGTAGGCTTCTGTTCTGGAGAATTCTCTATGGTACTCCCCGGGGGAGGGGGGCAGGCAGCCAAGAGGGGCTCTTTCTCTGATTTCACCGTGAGTGCCGCTGGGATCCCTGGAAGTGGAACCTGTGTATGTACAGTTCCTTAACACCGTGACCCCCAGGAGTCCACTGTCTCATGCAGGTCTACACCAGCTTCTAGGGATTCGTCAGAGTGGCCATGCCACCCCTGCTGGGCCTCTCGGGCACTGGCTGTCCAGCTTTCATGGAGTGGCTGCAGCCATTCAGTTCTCAAATGGGTCCAGGATGGCTATGTAAGCCCAGAAGAGCCCCTGAGGGTTCTTTGCTGTTGGGGGCTGCAGTGGGGAGTCCCCACCAACGTTTGGAAAACGGCGCACGACCCCTCAACCTCCCAGCCAACGTCTTGACCTCCCAGCTGTGCAGCGACATCCCAGCTATGGGACTGGTGCTCTTAGTCATGAGTCTGTGGGTTTTCGCTGCCATGTCCTTGGATTTTGGGCATTTGTCTCCCACACCATGAGGGACAGTGGTGTTCTTGCTCCCTGTGAACGTGTCTCCATCACGTGGGGATTGGAGCGGTTCGGGGCGGAGCTGCACGTTAGCACAGTCAGTGCCTGTGGGTGACCGTTTCATTCATTAAAAGTGCGTGTAACAGGCAGCTCCTTGGTCACATGGGTGTGGGGGGCGTGTGGGGGGTTGTGGGGTATGAGTTGGGCCCTGGGCTGTGGCCTGTGTCCCCCAGCCTGAGCAGGGACTGTGTGGGTTGCTGTGGGGCGGGCGCCAGAGCAGGGGCGCCCTGCGGGCTTTGACGGGATGAGGGTCCAGGCCTGGGACGGGAAGTGGGGCGCTAGTGAACCGTGGTGTGGAGCGCGGGTGTGCGGAGCGTGTGCAGCCCAGTGCGAGGTGGTGCTGGCAGGGTCCCAGCATGGGGGACAGGCCAGCCAGGTGTGGCCTCAGAGGGCAGCCTCCCAGGCTGGGTCTGGTAGCAGCCGCCTCTGGAGCCTGAGGCTGTCCCTGGGCCCAGGGTCCCTCTTAGGGAGGCCCAGGCGACGGTGGTGGTCTCGGGGCACCCCCAGAGGTGCAGGCTGGCCGCTGTGGGCCCAACCCCAGGCGCTCTCCATGGACGTCCCTCCAGCAGGTCTCGTGAAGGGGGTGCTCCGGCTGTGGTTGGCACCCCATGCAGTGTGGGGCGTCCTTGATGGGTCCGGCTGGGGGTGGGCGTAGGCTGCGGTGGGCATCCCTGCGTCTTCTCCCCATACCCCCCCCCCCCCGTCCCCGGCCAGTCTGACGCTCTCTCCTTTCTCCACAGCCCGACAACCTGCAGAAGAACTGGCTGCGGGAGTTCTACCAGGTGAGCCAGCGGGCAGCAGGGGGGTGCCCTTTGGGTGCTGGAAGGCCACTCAGGGGGACACATGCCTCACACCTGGTGGGCGTCCCCTCCACCTGCGCCCCAACCCCACATCCTCCCCGTGACCCCCTGCTTCTTCCCTGTGCCCCGCATCCTCCTGTCCCCCACGTCCTCCTGTCCCCTGGCCCCACCTCACTGCCTGCTGCCCCCACCTGCCTCACCTGTGTCCTGTCCCCACACCCTCGCCCCTCTGCCCCGTCTCCCCATCTTCTGCTCTCTGCTGTGTGAATAAGAGGCAGCAGAGTGGGATCCCCTCGGGGCTGAGCACAGGCAGGCAGTGCTCCTCACTGTGAGGGCTGTGGTGGCCAGTGTGGGGCATTGCTGTTGGGTGTTGGGGGCCTGCAGTCATCCAGGAGGCCGGTGGGGTTGCAGGGGTGCGGAGCTCTGCCAGTGGCCCTTGGGCTCCCTCTGGGAAACGTTTTCCCTCCCAGTGGCACCGGCGCATTCCCAGAGGGCAGTTTGCGAAGAAAAGGGGGCGCCGCCCCAGAGGGACGGGGTGGGGAGGGTGGCCGGGGAGCCACCTGCTTTCTTCAGTGTGGTTTTCTTTCCTTGCTGAGTTCTTCCCTCCTTGATTTTGGCTCCTCTGATGAACCTGCTGGTCTGGGCTGGTTCTGAAGGCCGTAGACGCAGCCTGGCGGAGGGTGGTCGCGCTCCAGGACTCGGCCTGGGCAGGCCCTCGGGCGGCCAGGAGGGTGGAGGCAGCGGAGAGCTGGGCTGGGGCAGCCAGGCCCGGCGGCCTCCAGATGTGGCCAGTCCCTGCAGCAGAGGGGCCCAGGAAGCCAGGCGCTGGCCTGGGGGGGCGGTCCCCAGGAGCGGGTCCTGGCGTCTTTCCTTGTGACCCCGAGGCTGCGGCCGCCCATGGCTCTGCGGTCAGCAAGGAGACAGGGCAGCTGGGGTCCAGCTTGATCCTGCCCCCACCGTGCTCAGAGGGAGGGGCTTTTCAAGCGAAAGCCCACCCGTCCGTGCCGGGCTCAGCACCGAAGCAAAGGGTCGGTGAGAGTTAGAAACAGCCCCGCTGTCCGCGCCTCCTCCGGCTGCCAGACCCTGCGGGCGCCTGCGCTGGCTGCACTGTGGCCCCTGGGCATAGCCTGGCCGGCAGCCGCGCTGGGTGTGGACAGCCTGCACGTGGATCAGCCGGCCCGCTGCTGCCGGGAGGCCGTGCGCTGCGGCGGCCAGCGTGCTGGGCAGCGAGAGCTGAGCCTACGGCCCTCAGAGCCTGGGGCTGGGCTTCCAGGCCCCACCCAGCCTGTCGTCCGGCGGCTCCCTCCGGGCCAGCGGCTGGCCGGGGCGTGTCCAGAGCCCGCGGGGTGAGCGGCGGCCATCCCCCTCCCCAGGATCCCTCGTGGCCTGGCCTTATCTCGGCCGCCAGGCTCGCGGCTGTGTGGCTGCCTCCTTTTTAGGTCACTGGGCTGCATGAAGCGCCCGGCTGTTGCTATTTTTGAGGCTGACTTGGCTGCGCTCCGCGGCGGCTGCTTCCTGGGGGCCGGGGCCTCCGTGGCCACCTGCAGGCCGGGCGCTCCGCGGGCGTGGACTTCTGCCCTTCTGCCGGCCTTTCCAATTCATTCTTTTCCCACACGTGCCCCCGGGCTTCGGCCCGCGCCGTGGCCCGCGCCTGCGTCCCGCCGAGTCGGAACCGGCCTCGCTTTTGGTGGGCGGTGGAGCCCCGGCAGCGCCCAGGAGGGCCCCGCTGCGCCCCCGGGGTGTGTCCAGGGGGCGCGGCCAGCTTCGGGGCCGGGCCTCTGCCCGTGGGCCGCGTCCTCCGGGGCGCTGAGGTCCCGCCGGCGCCTGAGGCGCGGGGCTCCGGCCCTCGCGGTGGGGCGCAGTGGGGACTCCCCAAGGCGGGGGGCTGGCCCTGCCCCTCGCCACGGCCGGGGCGGCGCCCTGGGGTCCAGGGCCTCGGCGGGGAGGGCAGCTGGGCGCTGCCCACGGGGTGCTGTGGGCGTGTCGGCCCCCGGCCCCCCCCCCCCCGCAGCGCCCCGCGGCCGGAGGCTCCTTCCCGAGGGGCTGCCCAGCCCCTCCCGCGGCCCCCTGCCCGCGGCGGGTGTTGCGGGGCGTCACCGTGGGGTGTTCCTTTGCGGCCACGGCCGCAGTGGCCTCGCGCCCCCGCCGCCCCCCGCGCCCCGCGCCTCCGGCCCGCGCGCCCCGCGCGCCCTCTGCTGGCGGCCGCCGCGCGGTGCAGGCCCCGGCCGGGCGCGGCGGGCTCGAGGCGAGGGGGCCCCGCTGGGGGGGGGCGGGGGGGAGATGGGGAGGGCTGGGGAGGGGGCCGAAGCGGGGGAGACGCTGGGGCCGGGAGAGGGGGCGAGGCCTCCGGGCGTCAGCCATGAAGGTGCCCCGGCTGCCCGCGGTCGCCCTCGGCCGTCCGCACAGCGCCCCGAAGCTGGCCGCGCCCCCTCCTCTCCAGGCCCCCGCGCCCCGCCGCCCACCTGGCCTGGACGCCGCGGGGCGCCCCGCGCCGGCCCCTCTCCCCGCACCGCGGGCGCCGGGCCGGACCCCGCCTGCGGGCGTGGGGGCGCCCTCCAGTGTCGGGGGCCGTGGGGGCCCATCCTCTGCCCCGGGCCTGGCCCGTGGGGCGCCCGCCCCTCCCCCTCAGAGGCCGGCCCGGCCCGGCCCGCCCAGAGCCCAGAGCCCAGAGCCCAGGGGGTGGGCAGAGCCCTGCCCGGTGCAGGCCAGACCTTTGAGCCTGAGAGGCCCGCCCCTCCCCCTCCGGGCCCCTCCCCCTCCAGGGCCCCTCCCCCGCCCGGGCCCCTCCCCTGCCCGGGCCCCTCCCCCTCCCGGCCCCTCCCCCTCCCGGGCCCTCCCCCTCCCGGGTCCCTCCCCCGCCCTGGCCCTTCCCCCTCCCGGGTCCTTCCCCTTCCCGGGGCCCTTCCCGGCTGTCCCCTGCTGTTGGCTCCGTCCATGTCCGTCCCTGAAAGGCGGCCACGTGGCCCTGGGGCTCCCTGTGGACAGGCCTCTGGGGCCCCCACCGGGGGACCTGGCTCCCCTGTTTCTGCCCAGAGTCGCGTCTCTCACGCGCAGCTGCCCTCGGCCAGGAGGACACGCTCGGCGGGTCCAGGCCACTCCGGCCCAAGCAGGCGGTGGGGGGTGGCGGGCAGCAGGCGGGGGCTGCCCTTGCTTCCTCACCCCAGGGCCCCCCACTCTTTGGGCCCCACTTCCCCGCAATACAGCCTGGGACAGCGCTGCTCACCTGCCCCTGGGTTTGGGGTACTCCTCCAGGTTGGGGTGCCCTCCAAGATTGGGGTACTGTTTTGGTTCAGGGTGCCCTCCTGGCTCCCCAGGTGTGGGTGTGGGGGTGCCACTTCAGCTGTGGTTGCCCCTCTGCAGCCTCGGTGACTCCGTGGGGTGGCTGTTTGGATCTCTTTGTGCTCGAGGGGTTCTGTGGGGGCAGCAGCAAATGTTCAAGGAGTTTGGTGGGTTTCGGTGTTGAAGCGGGCGCCATAAGACAGCTTCAGCTCCCACAGCCGAAGCGGACCACCGGGTTGGTTTACACGAATTTGTTCATTTGTTTATGGCTTTAGGGGGGCCCCAGGGCCCCTCTGCGAATCGCCTTCCTATCGGGGAGCATTACCTGGAGCTCAGGGAGCCCAGGTTGGAGGTGGCACCTGCATTGTCTCTGGCAGCGCTCCCTGGGATGGGGCTGGGCCTGTCCCAGCCCCAGACCAGGGGGTGCCACTCTGCAGAAGTTGGGGAGCACCTCATTAGCCACCAAAGTGGAGGAGGAGGCCCGTCCACCTCCTGAGTCCGACCCCACGAGCCGGGAGCGCTGGGTGGGGGTCCAGACAGGAGGGAAGCGTTTAAGTGGCGGCGCAGCCAGTTTACGGGACCTCGGTTAACGCCCGGCCCACGGCCTCCCAGCGATGTCCCGGGGCCCCGCCTCTGCCACAGACCCAGCCTCACACCCAGCGACAGAGCGGGCCACGCACACACAGGTGCACGTGGGCACACACACAGGCACACACCCACGTGCACTCACAGGCACACACACAGGTGCATGCACACACCCAGGCACACACAGGCACACGCCCAGGCACATGCACACACTGCTCCCTCTGAGGGACGGGCGGCCCCGGCTGCGTGTCTGGTGGTGGCTGTCTCGGCCTCCTCAGGTCTCTCCAGCAGGGCTGGGCTCGAGAGTGGCAACCCCATGCTCCAGGGATGCTCTGGGGCGGGGCCCTCGCGGGTTGCGGGCGTGGGCGTGGGCGTGGACGCTCTGGAGCTGGCCCTGGGTGGCCGCACCCTGACACTGAGCTGCCCCCAGGTGGTCCACACGCACAAGCCCCACTTCGTGGCCCTGCACTGCCAGGAGTTCGGAGGGAAGAACTATGAAGCCTCCATGTCCCATGTGGACAAGTTCGTCAAGTAAGTCCTGGCTGGGCCCCCGGGTGTCTGGGCGCCAGGCCTGTGCGGGGCTCGGCCTCCAGGGAGCGTCTCCTGGGCAGACCCGGGCGGTGGGTTTTCCCAAATCATCTTCATGTCGGGACAACTGCGAGGCCAGCGCTTCCTTCACCACCTGGCGGGCCCGACCCCCTGGGTGTCTGCGCAAGGACAGCCCGTGCTGGGCCTGGGGCTCCCGGCGTCCTGGCCTGGAGGGATCCGGAGGGCCCGGCCCAGCGGGCAGGGAGGGCTGCACCTGTGGCCGATGGGAGGTCAGCGCGGAGGCCCTGCCAGGCAGGCGAGGGGAGGCGCTCAGGGACACGGTGACCGCAGGGCCGGGGTTGGGGCAGTGGTCAGCGGCCCGGCCCTCCTCCCTTTGGTCCCCGAGGCCTTGGGCACCCTCCGTGCTGTGAGGGCAGGTGCTGTGGCGCCCTGGCCAGGGACTGGCCAGCAGAGAGTGCCCCTCCACGGGGACTGGGGCTGAGGGCCAGCCAGCTGCAGACATGGGGCCTTGGATGGGCGTCTCCGCCTCCGGGTGCCCTCTGGAGAGCCAGGTCTCCTCCCCACCCCCTCTCTCCGCGGGAGCTGCACCAGCACCGAGCCCTGAGCCGCAGCCGGAGGCCTGGCTGAGCCCTGCTCTTTGCCCGCAGGGAGCTGCTGTCCAGCGAGGCCATGAAGGAGTACAGCCGGGCCCGCGTCTACCTGGACGAGAACTACCGGTCGCAGGAGCTCTTCACGGTAAGGCCTCGGCCGCCCAGCAGCAGGTGACCTTCCCTGTGGCCTAGTCACTCCAGGTCCCCCGCTGCCGAACAGCGGTGTCCTGCACCGGGGGCCTTGGAGGCCCGAGCCACGCGGGAGCCGGGGGGTGGCCCGGCCCACGGCCCGAGGAGGGGGCACCAGCCCTGGCTGAGCGCTGGGGCTGACCGCCTGGGGCTCAGCCAGCCTCAGTGGGCTTGGAGCTGGCTGCAGGGCTCCCCCAGAAGGGCTGAGTGTCCCCGCCCCGAGGCTGGGGTCCCCCACGAGGGGCCTTGGAGGGGCTTGGCTCCCAGGGCCCTGCTGGTGGCTGCTGCTGAGGAAGCCGCCTGAGGTGGAAACCTGGGCCTGGGTCTCACGCTGGCGTCTGAGGCGACACCGTATAAAACACGTGCTGAGACCAAAAGGGGGTTTAATTAGAAGCAAAATAAGCATAACCTGGAGCGTTCCCAGACGTGGGCGTGAACAGCGGGAGCCGGGAGCTGCAGTGGACCCCGTGGCGGGGGCGGGGCGGGGCCCGGCGCGGCCGCTTCAGCCGTGAGAGCAGAGTGACCCTGCGCGGGGCGTGGAGCGAAGGCAGAGATGGCTGACGGGGCGCCCCAAACAGCTGGGGGCGCCGTCCGTCCTCGGCAGAGGGGTCTGGGGCTGCCCAGGGGCCACCCCGCCCGCCCACGCCCATGGGGGTTCCGTGTCCTCTGAAGTGCCCGCCGCAGGTGGCTGGCCGGGGCCTTTATGATCCGCCTCGCCCCTGGAGCTCTGCTGGAGACACTGTGTCACCGTCGCAGGGAGCATCAGAGGCCGAGAGAAGAGCTCGTCCCGCGACTCGGTGGTTCTTTGAGGAGCGGCCGGTCCGCAGCTGGCGGCGTGAGGCCGGGCCAGTTGCCCGAGCCCCCTCTCTGCGGGGTCACATGCAGGGGGTGGGCTGTGCCCCCTCAGCCGCAGACATGGGGCGCAGAGATGGGGCGCTGGGACTCTCTTCCCCGGGGCACAGGCAGGACGCAGGTGGACGGCCGGCTGGCATTCGGGCGGGGTCAGGTCTGGGTGGTGTGGGCAGCCTGGGCCACGTGCCCTGCCTGAGCCCCTGAGGCTTTGTTTCAGTGTCCGCAGAGCTGGACAGTGTCCAAGGGAGGGGCCCTCGGAGGGTGCAGCGCCCTGGCCTGTCTTCTCCCACGCCGCCTCCCGGCAGCCCTCCCATAGGGTCCGGGGCGGCTCTGCCTGGCACCCAGCGGGTGCAGTGGGTGTGCCTGCCTCTCGGGCTTAGAAGGTGAGTTTGGCCTTGGCCCAGAGCCCTCAAGAGTCCTGGGAGCCTGTGCCCACCTCCGGGCAGGGCTGGGCACCTCGTGGCCCCTCCCTCTGCCTATCAGGGGCAGGAGAATTTAACTTTTACAAGATTAATGGGATTGGAGCAATATTTTCAGCTGAGTGTGGTTCAAATAATAGGCCATTAATTGAAAAGGGAAATTGAAATGAATTTATCTTGTACATAAATGCTGTCATGGGCATTAATAGGGATCAGAAAATAGTGGCCTGTTCCCAGAAGGAACTGGAACCCGGAGCTGCCCCCGAGGTGTCAGCACGGGTGGGGGCTGCTGTGCAAGTGGGGGCCTGGGGGCTGCGGTCTGGGGGGATCGTGGGCTGGGGGTGCTCCCTGGGGACTGTGGCTTGCGCCCAGGGTTGATGGTGGGCTGGGGGCTGTGATCTGGGGGGCTGGATCTGGGGGGCTGCAGTCTGGGAGGGGCTGGGGCGGCGGGAGCCTGCAGTGCCCGTCTCCGCCAGGAGGTGGCGCCAGAGCGGCGCGCCCTGGGAGAGGGCCGCCCCGGCCTGTCCTGTCCTGTCCGCCTGAGCACAGGTGGCCCCGCTGGCTGTTGGGGAGAGCCTGGGGTGGGGAGGGGGTCGTGAACCTGGGTTAGGGGCCCTGTGGGCCTGCCGAGCCAGTGGAGGGCAGGGCCTGGGCCCAACATGGACACAAGGAGGCCCCTCGGCTTCCTCAGCGGCCCCTGGCCACGACGCCGCGTGGTGGGGAGCCTTGTGCCCTGGCGCATCAGGAACCAGGGAGGCGAGGCCCCAGCTCCGGGCACCCTGTCCGAGCCCCAGGCTGGCACTCAGAGTGGGGGTGTCCACCCAGTCATTGGGTCGGCGCATGCTGGACGCCTGGGTAGCGGGAGGGGCCTCAGGAAGGGCTGCAGGAAGGACGCCTGGCGGGGCGGGAGGGAGGGAGTGGGGTGGGCACAGTGCCCCGGGCCATGCCTTGGGCCTTGCGTCTGGGCAGGAGGATGACAGTGTCCATGGTGCCACTGCCCAGCCTGTGTGCCCCCTGGGCGGCGCGGGTGACGCCAGCTCTTGCTCCAGAGACCAGGCTGTGGCTGCTGCCTCCACGCAGTGGACAAGCCCTGGGGGCCCCCGCCTTCCCCCCCCACCCCCCCCTCAGGACCCCGGGCGTCCTGGGCCCAGGCCAGGGGATACTTACACCCTAGGGGTCTGGGTCCCCCGCTGAGTGTCCCCTGCGTGGGGGTGTCGGAGGCGGCCCTCCCCCGCTGCCTGCCCGTCTGTGCTCCTCCGCGTAGATTTTAGGGGATTTATGGAAAGTTGATGGGGTTTACTGCGGCTCCGGCCCAGGCAGGGCGGCGGGGAGGCCGCGGCCCGACAGCCTGATGAAGTGGGGAGGCGAGATTGGTTTCCGAGGTGCGGGCCGGCGCGGAGCTAAATCACGCTGTCGCGCAGGGCGGTGGCACCTGCACCCCCGGGACGCGGGCGGCGCGGTGAAGGTGAAACTGTCATATCGATCTTTTTAGCCCTGAAATATGAGCCACTTTACTCCGTTCCCCGCTGCTGTGGCGCGAAAAATAATAACTCGGGTCCAAATTAAAAATATTGATCCCGGGAAGGTGCTGAAAGTAAATAAGCGTTTGCCAAGTTTTCGGGTCAGGGAGGACCGGCCGGGCCATAAACGTGTCGGCGCGGCCGCCCGCCTCTGTCTCCCCGCGGACTGATTGGTCATTATTTACGCCCAAAAGTGCCGGCCCGGCCCCGCTGCCGCACCCGCTGCTCGGGCGGACCCCCGCCCCGGGCTGGGGAGGCACCGGGCCTCGGGCCTGGACGCGCGGCCCCGGGGTGGGGGCGCGGGGCAGGGTCGGCCGTGCCTCTGCGGTGCCTCTGAGGGCCCGGTGGGCGCAGAGCTGCCGCCCGTGAGCCCGGGCCCGCCCCCGGCCGCTGCCCCGAGCCGGGCCCGCATGGCCGCCGTTCGTCAGCCGGCAGGTCCTGCGCGGCCGGAGCGAGCACTCGTGCTGAAAGATCGAGGCGCCGGGGACTCCTGCTCGTTAGCGTCTTCTGACAGAAAATCACTGGAGCAGCCAGCGTCAACGCAGCTGGCCCCGCGCGGCTGTGGCTCCAGCGTCGCCGCCTCCCGGCCGGCCGCTCAGTCCAGCCCTCCCGGTGCCCATCCCCGCCCCGCTCCGGGCACCCACGGTCCGCGCGGCCAGAGGCCCAGCCAGTGTCCTCCGCCCTCCATCTGCGAGGCGCCACCCGTGCGGCCGGGGGTGTCCACTCCGGGGCGAGTCCTCGGCCGAGCCCGGCCACTCCTGCCGCCTCCTGGCCCAGCTCCGCGCTGGCCGGGCCCGTGGGGACCCTGTTCCTAGCCAATGTGCCCAGCCCCGGCGTCTGGAGGGGCAGGAGGGGCGGCCTCGCCCTCGGGCTGCTGCTGGGCCAGCCCCCCAGCACAGCCGACCGCAGAAACAGTTCCCACTTCTGGGCTCTGGCCAGTGCCACCTCCGCCCTCCTGGGGCCTTGAGGGCCATGCCAGGGACAGATGGGGTCCTTCGCCCCGCGGGGTCGAGGCGACCCTCCTGCCCCCTCTCCGCAGGGGTGGGGGCTGCGGCACAGCACGTCTGGGCGCCCTGTGGAGGTGGCTGGCCGGCCGGCGGGCGGCCCCGTTCTGTCCAGCCCGGCTGGGTGGCGGGCCGGCGTCCTCCATTGTCCGCGGAAGCCCTGAAGGATTGGCCAGACCGCGTGCAAACATGTGTCAAATGGAAATTGTTACACTTTGCTCTTCATCTTGAAATTAATGTCCGCTTGTCAATTTTTATCGCGGGGCTAATGGATGAAGTCCGGGATTGCTGCCCCCGCCCCACGTGGCCGCGCGCTGCCGGCCGGCGCCCCGGCCTGCGAGGGGCCCCTTTAATTTCCTTCCTATTAATCTCACGGCCGCCCGCGGGCAGAAGCGGCGGCCAGCGCCCCGGCGTGTGCGAGGCGGGGGCGGCCCCCGCCCTCCCCTTGGGTCAGAGCCCGGCTGGCAAATAAATGTCGGCTGTTCTTCCGACCCTCGTAATTATTTGAAGGGTTTTCAAAGGAGAGAACAAATTAAATCAAACCATAACTGTTGTGTCTCATTCTGGAGTTAAGTGTATTTTTAAAAATGTGGCGTCTCCTCCTAGTTTTCATCTATTATCGCGATAATTGAGTTTGTAGCTGGAATTGAATTTATCAAATTGCGTTATCCTCGTCAGAGACGGGATGGGAACCGGTGGGCGAGGCTGAAGTTAATCTGCTTTGCCGCAGCCTCCGGTGGCGGCCACAGGCCCGGGAGGCCGGACCCTCCTCTGTCACCCTGGACACCGTGTAATTTCTGCTCAATCCCTTGTGCAAATAATGACATTTGAATCGAGCATTAACAGGCTTAATTACTTTAAAATTGTCACTTTAATTTACACTGATATAGTATTGATCCCACAAGCAGAGATTAAGCTGTTCAGCCGAGCAGGTGATGGGGGATCAAACATTAAAGGGTCCTCGGGGGCCGCGTGCCGCCCGGCCGGGGCGGAAGAGGGATGGCGCTCGGCGGTAATGAACTGGCGGCATGCGGGGACATGAATCTTGGGCTCCTGGAAAAGGGGAAATAATGGGGTTTGGGAAGTGTTTGCAGGTCATTCATTCGCCGCCATGCACCGATTCTCCCGTGGTCCGTGCGCCTCACCAACATTTATTTATCCAGCAAATTCCGCGGCTTTGACCTTTCTGCTAAGTACATGGAGTGCGCGGGGCGGGGTGTCTGCGGGGGAGCTCTGGCGCGCGTTTGTTATGTTCTCCCGTGTCCAGGTGACATCAAACAAAGTCGGCAGTTCCCCGCCGCCCTGGAGCCGGCCTGCGCCGCGGGGGGTGAGGGCCGCCTCGCGCGGGGACGCGGGCCCAGGGCCCACCGCCCCCTGGGCAGCGCCCCGAGAGCCCGCGCCCCTCCCCGCGGGGGTCCCCCCAGCCCCTGCGTGGGGGGCCTCGGCCCCTTCTGGGGGAACCAGGCCTAAGGGCAGCCTCGGCCGTCTCCCTCGTCAGAGGTTACGGAGTAACAACGCAGGTGATTGATTTTATAGCTCAGCGGAGAATGAGGACATTCTTGATCACTGTCCATAATGGCTTTATTTTAAGCGGCAGCCTGGAGATTTAATGAAAGCATCATCAGGGAAATGAAAACACCGCCGGCCCGGAGTTTGCGTGGGAGGCCGCGGGGACCACCCTGCTGTCCTCCGCTGCCCGGCCTCGTCCCAGCACGGGCCTGCTGACCTCGTGGCCTTCGCCAGCGCCGCCCGGGGACACGTCCCCCCTCCTTCACGAGGCACCCGCCCATCCCCTGGTAGCCAGAAAACCAGACGGGAGTGAGGCTGGCTGGGCACCGCCGGTGGGCACCCCCACTACCCGCGTCTCCACGAGAGCCGGGCCCTCCACAGACCCAGGCCCGCCAGGGAGCTCTGTGTGGCCACTGCGGACCACAGGGGCCAGCGGTGGCCAGGAGGACAGGCGACGCAGTGTGGGGAGTAGTAGCTCTGTGCTCTGTTCTGTCCCCCGCCCTGGGCACCCCTGGGCGACCCCTGGCAGGGGCTCTGCATCGCTGCATCAGCGCAGGCTGGCCATCGGGGCTCTGCCCCACCCAGCCCTCCCGGCTCTGGGCATCTTGTTCTTGTTGCTGCCCCCGGCATCCCCGGCTGGCGCCCACCGTCTGCCCCTCCCGTGGGAGCAGCAAGGCCCAGCACTGCCGTCCATGCTCCCGGCCCGGGCCCCTGCTCCTCCAGGGGCGGTGGTGGTGGGCGTGGGCAGGCGGGGTGGGGGTACCCTAGGGGACACTGCCTCGGCAGCAGGGAGGAGCATTCTCTTCGGTCCAGGTGGCCAGCAGAGACCTAATGGTGGGCACGGCGCCTCCATGGCCTCTGCCCGGGCAGTGGGTGCTTCCTCCAGCTGCTGGCCATAGAGGCCCAGGGTGCTAGGGGCTGCCGCAGCTCCCGCCCACAGGCCACCCCTCGGCGCAGGGCAGCCCCGTCCAGCAGCCCTGAGGGGTCAGCGCCTTGACGGCATCTGGGGCAGGCCAGCGGGACGGTCCCCATGGGGTGGCGGGGCGGGGGGCCCTGCCGAGGGGGCAGGCTTCTCGTGCCTCCAGTCAGGGTGCGCGGAGGACAGAGCTGGCTGCAGGAGGGAGGCTGGACGGGCGCATCCCGCAGGGGCGGCACCCGTGGTGCTGCGGGAAGATGGCCGGTCTCTGGGGGCTGCCGTCCAGCCCCAAGCCCGGCACAGAGGCAGCTTCAAGAAGGAAGGAGGGTGCCTTAGCCCGGGCCCTGGAGGCTCCTCGTGGAGGGGCCCCGCTGCGCCTGCTGTGGGAAGCGGAACCCCCCCTTGCCGCTGTCTCCCCAGAGCGGGGCTCAGAGCCGCCACGTGGGGGCGCCCCGGGCCGCTGAGGGCCGGTCCCGCTCAGGCCCGGAGCTGCCCCGGCCTGGGGACTCTGGCATCAGCCCTCAGAGCGTCCTGCGGGCCGGGGCTTCCCGCCGAGGGTCATGCGTGGCTTGTGTGCGCTGACCTGCTGTCCTGCTGGCCGGGGCCAGCTGCGCTGGGGCAGGGTCACAGCTGTAAGACTCGCCTTTTCCTTCGACCGTTATCAAAACTTGCAATTTACAAAATGTGCATCGCCAGGAGGGAGCGCCCTGCGAGGGGAGCCGGGCGGGGCTGAGGGTGCAGGGGCCCAGGCATGCGGGGGTGGGGGTCGCCCTGGGGGTGCGAGGGGGCCGGGCCGGGGATTCGGGGGCCAGGGCGGAGCTCGGTGCTGCCTGGACCAGTGACTTTGGAGAGGGTCTGGGTGCCCTGGGGGAGGGAGCCGCCGGCCCCGCTGCTCTCCCAGCTGCCCCCGTGCTGCCTGGTTGCCCCGCAGCAGCCCCGCCCGCCCAGCTGCGCCCAGCACGCCCACGGAGGATTCGCTGCCGCCACGGCTCTTCGCAGGTTGACAGCCCAGCCCCCACCCGCCCCCCTGGAGCCCGTGTCTGCACCACGCTGACCGGTCCCTGCTCCGCGTCTCTGTGGAGACACCCTTCCCGGTGGTGCCGGCCCTGGCTGCCCTCCCAGCCGCGGGAGGCGTCTCTCCCCCCAAGCTGCCCGAGCTGCCCGCACGCACCGGTGGCCGTCCTCCTCCGTGGGCTGCCCGGGGCCCAGGGCACTGCCCAACGGGGTGATGGGGCTGGGCACGTGGGGCGGCGGCCCTGGAGCTGCCCCCACGCTCCCCCCCCGCCCCCGCCAGGCCAGGCAGCACGCCTCCGTGCCACGGCCATCGGGCCTGTTTAAGTGGATGAGGCAGTGGACAGCCAATTTAATTAACTGTGATGTCGGCCGTGGGGCTGGAGGCCAAACGAGATTACGTGCTGCGGCAGGGGCGCCGCGGGGCGCAGCCGTCAGCTGTGCCCCCGGAGCGGGCTGGGCAGGCCGGCTCTCCCTGGAGATGGGGGCGGCCCCTCTGGGCAACGCAGGGCGGTCACGAGCCTCCCGTTGGTGGCTGTCTGGGCTGGTCACGCAGAGGCTGGGGGGCGGACAAGCCCATTCCCCTGCCGCTGCCTCTGGCCTTGCTTCCTCGGGTGCTTCCCGCCACAGGGTTGCGTCAAAGCCAGAAGTCGGGCTTGGGTTGTGAGGTGGCTGCGCCCCAGCTGGCACGTGTCCGGAGCGCACTCTAGAGGCCACTCAGAAGCGGCCGGGCACTCTGAGCTGAGTGGACGCCGCACCTGCCTCCGCCCCTGCAGACGCCCGTCTCTCTGCCTCACTCTGTCCGGGAGCCCCCGAGCGGCTGAGCACCGGAAGGACGGGGCTGCCACGGGCCACGCAGAGCAGTCCTGGTGGGCTGCCTGGAGAGGGCAGCATTCCCACAGAGGCGGCAGTGGCCAGGGTTCATGGGAGACCCAAAGGGGGGCAGGGGAAGTGCCGGCAAGAGCAGGACTTGGCCTAGCTTAGGGGTCGGGGTGTGAGGGCTGCAGCCACCGCAGAGCAGACCCCCTGACCTCGGGGGGAGAGGCCGCAGGGCCGCTGGAGGGAGGGGGCGTCCTGGAACCAGGGCGCTGGAGAGCACTGAGGGGTCTGGAGGGCCCCCACGTGACTTCTGCTCCCGAGGGAGAGGCTCCCGCACCTGGGAGCCGGCCAGGTCCCGGGCCTGTCACCGGTGGGCTGCTTCGAGCCTGTTGGCGGGTCCAGTTGCTTTATTTGAAAGGAAACCACTTGAAATGCTTTGTCCGTGGACAGAGCCCAGCACGCCGTCCGCCAGAGAGCGCCCCCTGGCCTGCGCGTCTCCCGTCCCGGGGCGAGGGAGGGGCGGCTCTGGGCCCTCCGCTCCTGGCTTTGAGGTGAGACTGGTGCCCCCGCGGACCCCCAGTGTGGGGTGCTGGCTGACGGGCATCCAGTGTTTGCACATCAGGAGGCGCCCTGGGCGGACAGCAGCCGTGGGACGGCGGGGTCTGCTCGCATGCCGCGCCAGGGGGGCAGAGCGCGGCCGGCCTGTGCTGTCCCAGCCCCTCCCGAGAGCGGGCGGCCTCCCGCCAGCCCCGACCCACTTGGCCAGCGGCTTCCCCCAGGGGCTGCGTGCCCCGCACTCGGGTGCCCCCGCCCAGCGCCCCGCCGCCCACGAGTGCCCCGCCGCCCGCGCGTCGCCAAGAGGAAGTGTCTTCACTGTTTCAGCAAAGACCAGGAGCTGCCCCTTGGCCAGGGATGCCGTGACGGTGGCTGGTGGCCCCGAGGCCTCGCGGGCAGCGCTGCCCCTATGGGAGGGGCCCTGAGCTGTCGATGGCTTAAACCGGAGCTTCAGCTGTAAATGCCCATCAGAGCGGGCTGTGGGCTTTCTGGCCCGGAAGCCGGTTTCTGCGCTGACCCCCGCTTCCCGCCCGCGTGCAGCGCTCGTGTCGCTGCGGGTGACCGCCACGCCGCAGGGCTTCCCAGCCCTCGGTGCCCACAGGTGGGGCCGGGTGTGGCTGTGGGATGGGGCCGAGCGGGCCTCCCAGGTCCTCAGTCCTGGGGTAGGGGGGTGCTGGTGGCCTGGCCCCTTGTGGCCCCCACGTGCCGGCAGGACCCACCACCCACTGGCCGGGTGTCACAGGTCAGCCCGCCTCCGCCCTGAGGCCTCTTGCACCGGGATACAGGTGCTCACGGCAGCCCAGGCCCTGGGCTCCATGGGCAGGGGCGCTGGGGAATGGGAGTCCTGGCCCAGCCGCTTCGCCTGGCCCTGTGCACAGGCACGCGGGCAGCCGGGACAGGCGGCCTGCTGCTCCCTGGCCACCCCAGCTGTCCCCACTGGGCCTGCCATCCCCTCAGGGCCTGAGCCCGTCGGCCAGGCAGCAGAGTCCCACTTTGTGGGAGCAAGCCGAGCTCTGGGCCTCCGTTGACCCCTCACCCCATCACCTGGCCCTTGAGGGGTCCCCAGTGGAGCCGGGAGGAGACGGGGAAGGTGCCCTGGCCTGTCTGCGGGGCTGGTCCCCACCCCGGCCTCCCTGCAGGGCCGCCTCCCACCAGCAGCTCCGACTCCTCTCCCGCGGCTTTCCTTACCCTGGGCGGGCAGCGCCTGTTTGGGACTGGGGGGGCGGGCGCGGGGCAGTGGCGGCTGGGTCACGGGGCGGCTCAGTGGCCCCGCGTCCACCTCTCCTTGGAGTCCACGGGCTCACAGGTTTCTCCTTTCGCTCCACAGGCCCTAGGAAGCTTCTATTTTCTTCACGAATCCTTGAAAAGCATTTCCCAGTTCGACTTTAAAGGTGAGGCGCCCCTGCTCCCAGCCGGCTGGCGGCCCCTGGTCTGTGGTCCCTGGTCTGCACCAGGGCCACGCGGGCACCACTCGCTTTCGGTGTTTCTGGACCAAGGCCCCCGTGGGGCCCCAGGTGGTGCTGGGGGGTGGGCAGCCCCTTGGGGGGGTACGGGGGCAGAGGGGGCACCTCTGACCCAGCAGGGTCTGCCCTGCGCCTTGTCTCGGGGCTAGGGCGGTGCAGGCCCTCGGTGAGGACGGTCTCTGGCTCCTCCGGCCGCGTGGCTGAGCAGACCGCGTCCATCTGAAATGTTATCGAAGCTGTAACGACCGTGGGGAGCCACGAGCTATTGGTTCAGAGTCACTGTCTGTGCGCTCAGGAGGCGGACGGTCTTGCAGAAGCTGAGCGGCCGCCCCGATTTGAGCCCAGCCCTCAGGTGACACCTCGCTGGGGCCCTCACCTCTCCAGACACCAGCGTCGGGCGTTGCCCCTGGACCCTGCGGGCACAGCCAGGGCCTGGGCAGCCGGGCCGAGGCCGCACTTCCCAGGAGGTTATGGTCATCGACATCTGAGTCCTGTGTCCGGCACAGAGGGGGACAAACAAGCGCAGTGACCAGCGAGGCTGCGTCCCTCCGCCCGCTGTGACAGGCAGAGGCCCTGCGGCCATGGGGCTCTTGTCAGCCCCACGTTTGTGTCAGCGCCCAGGCAGATGGGCCAGGCCGGGGATGCTGGGGCAAGGCCAGCCAACAGTGCCTGCTCTGGGGTGGCCTCCAGCCCTCCGTGGGTCCCAAGGGCTGGTGTTTGATGAAGGAGGGTGGGCCTGGAGTACTTCCATGCCAGTTCCCGAGCAGACGGTGGGGCTGGGCTTGTGTGGAGGGGACGGCATGGTTCACGCCAGCCTGTGCCCCGCCTGGCCTCCCCACTGGTCAGCTGGGTTCCTCATCTCTCTGATGGGCCTGGGGGATGCCCTGATTGGCGAGGCCTCGGGACCAGGGGCCCTAGGTCACCTCCACGAGTCGTCTGTGCAGCTGGGGTCCTTCTGGCACCCTGTGCCCTGCCCTGTCCTCGTGGGCCGGGGGCTGGGCGTGGGCCGGGCTGCCTGAACACCAGGGATGCCACCTACCGCCGCGCGGCTGGACCGGAGGCCCTCGGGCTGGAGGCCAGCAGCCCATGTGGGGGGCACCCAGGCCTGGAGTGAGAGGGACCCAAGTCGACCCCGTGTGTGGGGTGTCTGCCCTGGGGGGCTCAGCTCGGGGACTGGCTCCGAGGAGCCCTTTGGGGACCGGCAGGCAGCGGGACTGGGAGGTGTCCTGGATGCCAGGAAGCAGTTGAAGTTACTGATGCGTCCACGTCAAGGGACTAAGCGTGGCCTGCAGCGGTCAGAGCTGTCCCAGCTTCCACACCTGCCAGTGGCCCTGGGAGTCAGGGCCTGATGCAGGGAGCCAGATCCCAGTGCACCCCAGGATTTACGAGCCGCAGGTGCCCCAGGGTCAGCACCCCCTGTCACGGGCTTCCTCCTGGGGCCCCTCGATGCCTACGGGGCCCTGCAGGGCACTGGGCTTGTGTGTGGGGTGTCGGATAAAGCTGTTCACGTTCTCTTTCTGGTCTTTTCCAGCTAAAAAGTATAAAAAAGTCACCGGCAAAGAGATCTACTCAGACACGCTGGAGAGCACGCCCATGCTTGAAAAGGAGAAGTTCCCGCAGGACTACTTCCCCGAGGTGGGAGCACCCCCCAGGTGGGAGCACCCCTCAGGGACCATCTTCCCCAGACAGGAGCACTTCCCCAGCACGTCCTCAGGCGGGAGCACCTCCCCGAGGTGGGAGCATGCCTCTGCCGCTTGCCCACCGACCAGAGCAGGCACAGAGTGCAGCTGAGGACATAGGAGCTCGTCTTTCACATAGGTGACCACACTGGCTACTGTCTATAGCCAGCTTCTTTCTGGAAGGTTCTGAAAGCTGCATGGGCCCTTGTCACGGCTAGTTACCGTTACGGTAGTGGGTGAACCTTATCATCACCACTTCCATGAAAAACATTCTCCTGCAGAGAAGCATTTGGCTCCCCTGGGCTGGGGGCCTGCACGCGGGGGCTCCCCTGGGCTGGGGCCCGCCTGCAGGTCGGTGTGCCTCTGTTCAGGGTGGTGGTTTCATGCAGCCTGTGTCCTGTGCATAGTTTCAGGCTCTGGTTTTTCCTGGCGGACGTTACAGCCGACGTGGAGTCTGATGATTCTTTGTGACCCACGTGCTGACCCAGAGCTGCCGGCCTGACCCACACGTGGCCTGTTTCTCAGGGCGGGCGGGGGGGCAGGCGCTGGCTGCTGAAAGGAGCCTGGCCCGGAAGCAGTGTGCTTGTTCGCCGCTGCCGCCGGCCAGCGCCAGGACCAAGGAGGCTCCAGAGGCCCTTCCCGAGGCCGCTGCTGTCCGGAGCCGGCTGTCCACCACTTTATTAACTCACTTTGTGACCCAGGCCCGGAGGAAAGCCCTGTCCCAAGGGATGGCTGTCACGCCTCCTCCGTTGTCCCAGAGCCAAGGACGGCCGCTGGCCCTGGCGCTCCCTGCCCCTTGCCACTGCCCCCTCCCTCAGCCCCCAGCCACAGGGGCAGGCCGAGCTGTGTGCCTGGGATGGGGGGCACCATGTGGCCCCCAAGTGCAGCCATGGGGGAGGACGCCCCCAGCCCCGTCAGGCAGAGGCTGAGGCCCCCGGGGCCTGGGGGCAGGGCGGCACTCACTTGGGGGGCAGTGGGCGCCTAATCTGGGCACGCTTGCCCCGTAAGGGCCCATTGAGTGCCATCACCCGGAGCCCAGGGCCGCCCTGGCACAGGGAGAGCGGACAGCCTTCCCTGCTGATCCGCGGGCGCGCGCCTTGCCGGCCGCTGGGGCGGCCTCTGGATGATGCGAGACTATTTTTAAAAAGCAGGTGTGTGTAGTCGATCAGGACTGAGGCATTTTCTTCCTCTCGGCCGTAGTGAGAAATTGGTTGTTACCATAGATCACCGGGCCGCCGGCTGTTATGAAAGATGGATTAATCCCGCTAATGCGTGCGGCCGGCCTCCCCGGGCTGTGCGGGTAACCTTCGCGCGGCCGCCCTCGCGGGTGATGGATGCCGCCTCTTAGCAGATGAGCCGCGCGCCCATCCGTCTGCGGCTTGGGGTCCTGTTGCGGGTGTCTGCACAGGGCCTCGTGCGTGTGCGGAGTGAGGCGGCTCCTTCCGGCGTGACCTGGACAGCCTCGGAGACGATGGGCGCCCAGGGGTGCACCCTGCGTCCCTCCTGGCCACCCGGAGCCCTGGCAGAGGCCCTGCCTGCCAGAGGCAGGTCTCGGCACGTGGACGGGTGGCGCCGACCAGGCAAACCCCGCCCCCCTTCTCGGCAGCCCCTGCACTGAGGGAGGCCCCTGGCCTGGAGGCCCCGGGCAGCTCCATCCCTGCGGCTTCGGGCCAGTGGGGCACGCATGGGGACATGTCTGGTTCCTGGGCACCCGACAGTACCACGGCCTCCTCTGGGCCCCGGTCGGAGGCGACAGGGCCTATGCTCAGCTGCGGGCGTCTCGGCAGCGCTCTGTGTCACACGAAGTCTTCAGGCCCAAGTAACGAGACAGACACATGCGCTACACGCAGGACAGACATGTGGACGCATCCTAGCCCGGCAGCCGACTGAGGAGAATCGTGATTAGCTTTTGGTGCAGAAACACACAATGGAGGCTGATAAACTCCAGCGGAGAGCCACGGCCTCCGGCTGGGCTGCCACTGGGAGACACGGGGCCGGGTCTGCTGTCCTGTGTGCCCCCCTAGCCCTGTCCACCCCGCCCGGCTAAGACCCCGGGACCTGGAAGCCAGCTTGCAGCTCAGTCGTGAGGAAGCGGGGCGCAGTGGGGGCGCCTGGTGATGAGAAAGCTCCAGAGAAGCCTGGGCTCAGGGGGCAAGTGAGAGTGTCTGGGGGACAGTGTGTGCCTGGACCGCAAGGAGGGCTGGACAGCTACGCAGAGGGCTTTGGCGCCAGCCTCCCCTGGCTGGCACACGCCTGTGGCGAGGTGGCCAGCAGGAGCCCGTGCCCGGAGGCAGCCGCTGCCACGGGACAGGGAGGTGGCAGCCAGGCCGTCTGTTGCCGTGGTCAGCAGCTACGCAGAGGGAGACTCCTGTCCCCATCGCGCCCCCAGGCCGCGCCCCCTCGGCTTCTCCAGCAGGGTGACCCGGGGCAGCCTTCTCCCTGCGGCGGGCAGGCCCCGGCGCCTGTGCCCGCGCCCCGTTCCCGCCAGGTGCAGCCGAGAAGCCCCGCCGGGCCCGGCGCGGGGCCCGCTTGCCGCTCACGGCGACTTTCCTCTTTCAGTGCAAATGGTCGCGGAAGGGCTTCCTGCGGACGCGCTGGTGCCTCGCCGACTGGTAGGTGCCCCCGCCGGCCGCCCGCTGCCCGGGCCCTGGCCACCCACGTGCCCTCCTGGGCCTCTGTCCAGGGGGCGGCGCCCGGCGCCCCGAGGCCCATCCCGGACGCCCACGGCCCGCAGCCCGCCCAGCCCCGCGGCCCGGAGCGGGGCGGAGCCCGGGAGCCGCGGCCTCCAGGCGGCGGCGGCGGGAGGGGCCGCGGCCCACGGGCCGGCCCGGCCGGGGGGACGTGGGCGTCCAGGCGCGGGGGGGGCCGGGCGGGGCGGCTCCCTGGGGCGGGGCGGGGCGGGGCGGGGCGGCCCCGGGGCCTCCGCCCTCCCTGCGAGGACGGCGCCCCGGTGGCCCCGTCTGGCCCGGCCGGCGGGCAGCGGCCGCGGGTGACGCCGGCCCGTCCCCCCGCAGCGCCTTCGACCTGGTGAACATCCACCTGTTCCACGACGCGTCCAACCTGGTGGCCTGGGAGACGAGCCCCTCGGTGTACTCGGGCGTGCGGCGCAAGGCGCTGCGCTACGTGCTCGACAGGTGCGCGGGCTGGACCCCCCCCCCCCGACCCCGGCCCGCGCCCCTCTGCGGCCGCTGGGGGGGGGGGGCGGGCTCTGCCCCGCCGGGCCACGGAGGGGGCGGCGGGTGGGAGGCGGAGCCGCTGGGTGGGGGACCCGGCGACCCCGCCCGCGCCCTAGCCGCTGCCGCGGCGACGGCCACTGCGGGGCCCCGGGCAGCGGGTCCTCCGGCCAGCCCTGGGCGCGCCCATGACCCGGCTCTGTGCGCCCCCCGCCCGCGCTGTGCGCCCCCCGCCGCCGCTCCGCACCCCTCCCCCTTTCTGCACACGCCCCGCCCCCGCGCCTGCCCCGCCCCCGCGCCTGCCCCGCCCTCCTCGCACACGCCCCGCCCCCGCGCCTGCCCCGCCCACCCTGCCGCCCCGCCCCCGCGCCTGCCCCGCCCTCCCCGCACACGCCCCGCCCCCGCGCCTGCCCCGCCCTCCCCGCACACGCCCCGCCCCCGCGCCTGCCCCGCCCACCCTGCCGCCCCGCCCCCGCGCCTGCCCCGCCCACCCTGCCGCCCCGCCCCCGCGCCTGCCCCGCCCTCCCCGCACACGCCCCGCCCCCGCGCCTGCCCCGCCCTCCCCGCACACGACCCGCCCCCCGCGCCTGCCCCGCCCTCCCCGCACACGCCCCGCCCACCCTGCACGCCCCGCCCTCCCCGCACACACCCGCCCACTTGCATGTCCCCCCCAGGGGCCTCCAAACCCTGGGCGGCGCTGAAGGGACGACTCCTTGGGCAGAAGGTGGGGTCCAGGGGAGGTGGGAGCCGGGGCCTCTCCCGGGACCTCCCTCTCAGCCGGCCGAGGCCAGCCCCTGGGGGCAGCGTCACGGTGGCCCTGCCGTGTGGCATCAGAACGTGTCCTGGCCCCACATGGCCGCCTCCTGGCCTCCGCCTGGGCTGGGCTGGGCTGGGCCGGGCTTTCCCAGGACCGCCTTGTGGCGCGCTCAGCCAGCCGCAGATCCGGACCTCCGGGGCGGCCGGCTGGGCACAAAGGCGGCTCTGTCCAGCTGTGAGTGACGGGCGCCCCTTCACGGGGGCTGCTAACCTTTTGGCAGCCACCAGCAGGCCGCATTCTGCTCTGCCGGCCGGGGACAATGCCCGCTGGCCCTTGAATGGACACTGCCACCAACAGCGCCATTCACCGCGTTGGGAACCTCTGGGGCTTTGTGCACCGCTCAGGGAGGGGGCGGCTTCCCGCCCAATTCCTGCGGGGCCAGCGCGTGGCGTCCGCCCCCAGCCAGAGCCACGTGGGCCCAGGGGCAGGAACGCGCGTGGATGCACCTGCGTGGCCCAGGGAGGGACAGCGGTGGGCGCCCGCCTCCCAGTGCCGACCCCTGCGCCTCCGCGGGAGCGTGGTCCCCGCTTCCTGCCGCCGGGGCAGCCCGTGCGCTCTCTTGTGCCATTTGCTGGTCATTTCAACCTCTCGTCCTGTCACAAACAACTCAAAAGGGACGCAGCTCGTGGGCGCAGCCCCGGCCCTGCCCTGCCTGCGCCACTGTGGCGAGCCGGGCGGCCGTCCCGCCCTGCAGGGCACTTCCTCCCACGGCCGGCCGTGTCCTCCGTCCCGCCCAGCGCGTCCTGGTCGAGTTCAGCAGGAACATTTTTACATCAGAACTGTGAAATCTGGACATAAAGCGCCCCTTTGTCCCCCCCTTTCTTTTCTCACAAATACAGTCCATTGTCACCACGCTGAAGTTAATTTGATCAACATTGGGACATTTAACTTTTATGTCCGGTCAAAAGAGTTGTTTCATGCTCATTTTGGGCATTCAAAGGAAATGATTGCCAGAAAAATAATGTTGCTGGGGACAATCGGGAGCAATTAGTTTCCCAGGGAGCGGCGCTGCGAGGAGCCGCGGGCCTTTGTCGCCGGGCGGCCATCCGTCAGCTGTCAGCCCTCAAAGCCCCGCGCCCTGAACGCCGCTCTCCGCCCGTTCCCAGAACTTGCTGGGCGGCCCCTGAAGCTCGGGAAAGCTCAGGGTCCCCAGCAGAGGCGGCCCCCCTCCTCTCGGCCCCTTTCCCCGCGGCCCTCCCAGGCGCTGAGGCCCTAGGCCAGGCCCGGCCCGCCCCCCATGGCGCCCCACATCCGCACTGAGCATGGACGCCTCGGGGCCCCGGGTGCTGCATGGCCCTGGCAGCCAGACCCGGGACCCGAGCCGGATGGGCCACCCGGTGTCCATGCTTCTCGGCCGGGGGCTCCTGGAGCCTGAGGACGCGTGACGTCCACCGGCGTCCCCGCACGATGTGTGGGGCCACGTCTGCTCGCGGGGGCCCTGGGCCCCTTTCGCTCGACTGTCCTGAAGACCTGGCGGCTGTGAGACCAGCCACCCCACTGGCCGCCGCGGCGTCTGCTGTCGGTGCCTTTGTTGAGGAATGAAACCGGGACCCCCACCTGCCGTGGGGCCTGCCGCCTCCCCGGCCCCCACCCCCGCCTGCCACCCGCGGGGCCTCTCCGCGCTGCCTGCCCAACGCCGCAGGCCCTGCCGCCCGCCCGCTCCCGGCCTGTGGGGCTTGGCCGCGGCGCCCTCTGTGCGCGCTGGCCCAGGCGGAGGGCGCAGGCTGCGTCTCTGTGGGGCGTGGCCGTGCTCCCCAGGAGCGTGGCCTCCAGCGGGGCACCGGCCCGGGGCACCAGCTCTGCCTCCAAGGTCCAGCCCTTGCTCTCCACCGCCGCGGCCAGGCTCCGGGGCACGGTCAGTGCCCGTCACCCATCACAACAGGCTGTTTGCAAGGCCTGGAACATCGATCTTCACGGCTCTTCCCGTGGCTCTCCCGAGTCGGAGCGGGTATTGACGTCCTGCTCGTCCATCATAATCCCTGCTGACAAGGCCGTTAATTTCAGAACGGCTTTTTCCTCCTGGTCCAAACGGCGCTATATTGAAATTAAAAGTGAGCGTGCGGGGACCCTCCCCCTCCCCACGGCCGCCCTCCCTCCACCGGCCTTATTAATGGCCCCGCCCGCTCGGCCAGGGAAGGGCAGGGGGCGGGCCTGTGTCTTGATGACCGTGTTACATGACTGCATGGGATGGAGCCGCCGCTGGTCAGCAGGCCCTGCCGGGGCAACTCCATGCGGGGTCAGGCTGGACAGCTGCGCTCCCCCGAGTGCTCAGCTCAATCTGACGTTCTCAGGCGTCCCCTTGGTTTGGTCCTGCTGCCTGGCAGGGCTGACAGCTGTTTGCCTCCTGGCCCTCTGGGCGGCCTCTGTCCACTCTCCTCTCTGGTCTCCACTTCCTGCCCACTGGGAATGGGCCCTGGCTGGGTGAGTGGCCAGGGACCTGGCCTCCCGGGCACCAACTGGCCACGAGCTCCCTGGCCAGGTAGTGTTCACTGACCCTCCAGAAATGAGGGCTGGGCGCTGGAGAACGGGCCCAGAGGTCCTGCCTGGAGAGCTCCTTCCTACACCTGGGGTGAGCGTCAGCGTGCTTGGCTCAAGAAATAGGAATCACGGGGCGTGTGTCTGTGTGTGCACCGACGTGTCCCCCGCGTGCTGGGGATGGAGGACGCGCTGGGGAGGCAGCGACATGTGTGGCCCAGGCCAGTGGCTACGTCCACCCCAAAAGCAGCCACTCGCCAGCACAGGGCCGAGCCGCCCAGCAGCTGCCAGCCGAGGCTGAGGCCCGGCTGCCTCCCAGCCCCCGGTGACCAGCTTCTTCTCTGCCCCAGAATCCTCGACCAGCGATCTGAGAACGTCTCCTACTTTGTCTTCGGCGACTTCAACTTCCGGCTGGACTCCAGGTCGGTGGTGGAGGTAGGTCTGCCGGCCGCAGAGGAGAGCGGCACTCACTGCAGGCGCCCACTGCAGCAACCAGGGAGGTTTTACCAAAGGGGGCATTGCTGGAGCTGGGCTGGGGTGTGTGAGTCCCAGACGTCCTGTCCAGGGCGGCCCGTGCCCACGCCCCTGGCCACCTCACGCTGCTGGTGAGCGCCCCCCTGGGGTGCCCAGCCTCCCGGGCGCCTGTGCAACCATGCTGCTGAGACCCGCGGGGCAGCCTTGGCTGGGCCTCCCTGGGAGGCCAGTGAGGGGGGGCAGGGGCTGCCATGGGCCCCACCCGACTCCCACTAGCGGCTCTCCCCCTGCCCCTGTCCACCCTGGGTGTCCATCCTCCGGGGGGCCTGCGCCGGAGAGGGGTGAACGTCTGCGCAGAGGCTGAGCCGGCTTCTCCATTGACCGCCAGGGTTGCAGGCTCTTCCCGCGGGCGCTAAGCCGCCCGAGTGGTGATTGAGGCTCACGCCAGGCACCGTCCGGGCCGCATTGCGCTCATCAAGTGCCCCCTGCGGGGCCTGCTGCGGGGGTGCGGGGGTGCGGGCGTGCTTTCTGCCTGCGCGTGGAACTGGCAGCTGGGCGCTCAGCTGGCGCGGTGACAGCGGTGACAGCAGTGCCAGGCGCTCCCGTCTCCATGCGGCCCGGCGCCCGCCCACCTGCCACCCTCCCCACTGACAGCCGACAGCCGGTGACGGACGCGTCCCGGGGGCCAGTAGGGGCTGGCGGCCGGTCTCGAAGGCCAGCTGGGAGCCTTCCCCAGAGGAACGGACGCAGCCACAGGGGCGCAGGGCTGGGTCCACAGGGCTCCCCAGGGACGCGGTCTGGAGCCGCCCCTGTCGGCACAGAGGCTGTCCGTCAGCGTGGCCAGGCTGCCCTGAGGAGCCGGTCCCAGGCCGCCCTGGTGGTCGCAGCCCAGCAGGCACAGCCACACGGGCCCTCCAGGAAGGCCACCCGCCGGGCAGCCAGGTGACAGGGCTTGTCCAGTCTCTGTTCCCCGCCAGCCTCCAGGCCCAGGACCCCAGGTGGGCGCCACGCCTGCAGGCCAGTCCAGGCTGGGTGTCGTCACCTCTAGCGGGGCGTGCGGGCCTGGGCGGGCACCACACCATCCACTCAGGTGCCCCTGCCCTGGTCTTCCTTACCCTCCAGAAGCCTCAGGCAAGTCTGCAGGGTCAGAAGCCGGGGACTGTGGGGGCAGGACACCACGAGCCAGGCCGGGGAGCTGCCCCACTGCCCGGGAGCACAGGGCTGGGGCTTTGTGGGGCCGCTAAAGGCTGTGTTGTGGGCATCGGCCGCTCTTCACCGCCACAGGCAGGGGCGGGTCTCCTTCTGAGCACACGGCCTGCACACACGGCCTCACCCTGCCCGCACAGCCTCTCCTTGCGCGGGCACCCGGGCCTAGCAGCCTCTTCCTGCTGGCCGTGGTGCCAAGTCTGTGTGGCTGGCGGTGCTGGCAGGCTCGGGGCTACGGGACTGTGCGGGCCGAGCCAGCGCACAGCTGGGCTCGTTTGTGTGGTTTGAAAGACCCTTATTTGAAACAACAGAGTTTTAAATTCAGATTGTTAAATGTGCAGGTCTTCAGCGAGCAGCTCGTGCTGGCCTGCTGGCCGAGGGCCTGCGGGCTGCGAGTAGCTCGTCCGCGGCGCGGCGCGGCTTGGGGCTTGTGTTTGGGGAATTCTCCCTCCCGGAAAAGGAAAGTTGACAAACGTCAGCAGGAGTTTCCAGTTGGGAGTTGATGTGAAATTAACTGTCCCCATAACCGCAGAAAGAGGGCAGAAGCCGGCCCCTCCCTCGGCACCTTCCCCGCCTCGCCTGGCAGTTCTCCCCGGCTTCTGCCCTCAGCTGCCCAGCCTCCAGAGCTTGGCCCAGGCGCCATCCGGACAGCCTGGCCAGCGCAGGAAGGAGGGGAAGCCCCAGCCCCTGGCTGCAGGGCTGACCCCGCTGGGCAGTGCTGGGGTCTGACCAGGCCACGCCCAGAGCATAGCCCCCTCCGCCGGCAGCACCCAGCCGGGCAGTGTCCCTGGACCGGCTGCTGGTGTCCAGCGCCCCCCTGGTGCCAGTGCTCTGGCCGCCCTGGGCTCCAGGGCCAGCCCTGAGGGGATGAAAGGGTCTTTATGGCGTGTTGTTGTGCTGGGCAAGCAGCTGACAGTGTCGGACAAAGGCGGCGGGGAGGGCTGGGCCCATAACCGGGCTTTTCATGGACTGTGGTGCCCGCCACTAGCATCAGCACCCCACCCCACGGGGTGGCCGGAGCGCCCCGAAGCAGCTCTGTTAAGAGCAGTCTTCTTTGGGGCCATAAAGGGATGGGGTGTGCCGCTGCTTCCCGAGAGGATGGCAGGCCATGAAGCCGGGCTTCCCCACAGGGCTGACGCCCGGGTCCTGCCCGCCCTGCTGCCGCCACCCAGCCAGGCCACCATGTGGGTTCAGGGCTCAGGAGCCAGAGGGCAGCTCCTGGACCTGCCGTGGGCACTTTGAGGAGGCCGGAGGCCCGGGGCCCACCTTGGACACTGACGCGGCAGCCTCCCTGCTGCCCACCACAAGGGGCAGTGTGTACGGGTTCATGAGGGGGTTGGCCAGGGTCACTCAGGTCCCATGTAGGGGTCACTGTTGTGTCATTGCTGGGTGTGACCAGGCCCCTCCACCTGGTGCTCTCCACCTGGTGCTCACCACCTGCCACAGCCAGGCTGTGGGGTCATGGGCACGGCCTCGTGGGGAGCGTGTGTCCACCCACAGCAACTCCACAGGGCGGGGGCGGCCCCGAGCCCGCTGCCCGGCATTCACGTGGTAGCGGGATCCCCAGGGCAAGGCTGGGCAGCTGCCCCCCTCGGCCGCCCAGCCAGGTCCCACAGCCTCACTGCTGCTGGTCCCGGGCGGCCTCAGGACTCACCGTGGCCTCTGCGGCTCGAGCTGGGTGACCGTGGGCCAGACCCAGTGCTGAAGGCCGTTTCTCCACGGCCTTCCTTGGCTGGCTGGGGACGGGCCTGCGTCCTCGCCTGTCCACGCGCTCCAGGGTTCGCGTCTTCCCTGGTGAGACTGTCGGGGCTGACACCCAGGCAGGCTCAGAGTAGAGGGCTGGCCAGTGTGTCTGAACCCTCCCACTGCCCGGCTGCCCGGAGCCGAGGGCGGGTGAGACGAGGACAGGCCTGTGGACCCAGCCGGGGCCAGTCAGCACCCGCCAGTTCGGGTGGACGGAGCCCCTGGGGTCTGGCCGCTCAGGAGCGCGTGAGGGGCCTGCTCCCCCTTCCCGTGAGGACAGAGGCGTATGGGCACCGGTTGTGTCTGGGGACAGCGCAGGCTCCTGGGGACCTGGGGATGGACCCTACACCTCGCAGGGCCCTCGGCTTGTGGCCGCAAGAGGCCCTTCCGTCCCGGTCCATTCAGGCTGCTTTGCTCCCGCCGCTGCCGCCCTGAGGCCTCACTCAGGAGCAGAGGGTGTCACTATGCAGGGCCTGCCCGGGGGGAAAGGCGCTTTCTCGGGGCCCCTCCCTGCTCTCTGGACCCCACCCCTGCTCTCACACACCCCGCCCCCCCGCGGGTCCCCTCTCAGGCCCAGGCCTGGTGTCTTCAGGAGGCAGAAGTGTGAACACGACTCAGTCCTGAGAATGCCCCAGGCCTCCCTCACACCGTGGAGGGCTGTGCAGGGCCAGGGCCTGAGATTCACTCTGAGCCTCCACCCGCTCGGCCCTGGCAGGGTCGGGCTCCCCGGCCTTGGACTGTCTGCAGACATCTGTGCCCCCAGAACGTCAGGGTTGCCCTTGCCCCATGGAGACAGAGGCCCGAGAGGGGGACCCCGCTCACCCTGCCAGGACGCTGCTCCCCGCGCCTGCCCAGCCCCGCCCTCCTCCGGGCCGGCCGCCCTGGGCCCCACCGCCTGCCTCCGGCCCGCGCGGTGTCCCCTCAGCTCCAGGACGCGGCCGGCGCCCTCCCTAGCAAGGCGTCCTCTGGGCCCTGCCCGTGGCCCCTGCCCCTGCTGGGTGGGGCCTGACACCCCCCCAAAGGACCTGTCCGGGGCCCCTCCTCTGCGCCCTGGCCAGGCCCAGAGGGCACCACCTGAAACCACCTGTGAGCCCTGGACACGCAGGTGGCCTGGCCGCGGCTGTGGCCGGCTGAGCCTGGGTAGTGGAGGAGGTGCAGTTAGGGTGAAGCTGCTCCCCAGCCCCTGCTCCCCAGAAGTGTCTAGACCCCCTTCTCTGCTTTAACCTGCCCCTGAGCGTGGCAGACTGGAGCTGGGTGCATGGAACCCACAGACTCCCCTTACAAAGCAGCACTCTTCTGGGGGTGCTGTGCCGGGGGGTGCTGGGCTGGGGTGGCGGGGCCTGGGGCTGTGCGGGGCGGGTTTCAGCCTGGGCTCCCCCGGCAGTCCCGCCTGCAGCAGCGGGCAGAGCTGTTCTGCGGGCTGGGACCTGCCTTGCGTGGGCCTGAGACGGGGCGGCGGCGGGGACCTGGCTCCTGGGGTAGCAGCACCTGCTTCCAGGCCGGGGCAGGCGCGCGGGGACCCCTGAGGCTCCCGGGCAGCGATGGGACAAAGTGCCCCCGGCGTGGCCGCGCACGGTGAGGTAACCTCGGTCTCTTCCAAACATCACGTCTGGCGCTTCCCTCCCTTCCAACCAGAAGCGCCAAGGCCAGGAGGCCGGGCTGGGCTCGCGCTTGCTGCACCTGGGGGTGCGGAGCCCCGGGCCACCCCCAAGCGCCGAGGTAAAGCCTTTTCTCCAGTTACCAGCCTCGGGAGGGGCCGGAACTTCTGGACTGTGCCCGGCCCCGACACAGGCAGCAGCGCCCCCCTCCCCTCCCCCGGGCAGCCCCAGCCCCTCGCGCATCAGCACCGCTGGGGCCGCCAGCTGCCCCCTGCGACACCGGAGCCGGCGCCACGCGGGCCGGCCTGACCGCGGCTGTGCGCCCTGGTCTCTGCGCCCTGGTCTGTGGCCCGCCCCACGGGCACCCCCGCAGCCGGTCCCGCCCTTCGGGGCGCTGGCCCCTCCGATTCTTTTGGTTGCGCGACAAACGCAAGCGAGTCATTGCGGTGATTCCCAGACAAGCCGCCGCACTTGCGTGCTCCAGGCTGCGCCCCCGCTGCCCCAAGAGAGGTCTGCCCGCGGGCGGGGTGGGGGGGGCTGGCGGCCGGGGTCCGCCTCCAGGGTGGGTCTCCCGCCGCCCCTGCCTGCCCGGGTACCCCCTGCCTCAGCCTGAGGACCCAGCCCTTGGGACTGAGCCTGGGGGTGGTTTAGCTTTTACGCCCTCAGATGGCCTCCCCCAGGCCCCGGGGTGAGGGCGCCGGCTCTGCCAACCCTCCTTCTGACCCGCTGCCCAGTGCCAGGCGGGCTGCTGGCCCCTCCCGCCCCCGCAGGGAAAAGGGGTGCGGTGGAGGGCCGCGGCTGAGGCACCCCTGTCCGCAGACGCTGTGCGCCAAGGCCACCATGCAGACCGTCCGGGCCGCCGACACCAACGAGGTGGTGAAGCTGATATTCCGGGAGTCGGACAACGACAGGAAGGTGTGTGGCGGCAGTGGGCGCTGAGCCTGGCCTGGGGGCACCCCCTCCCACGCCCCCCCGCCCCCGCGGCTGACCCCCCTGCCCCACAGGTGATGCTGCAGCTGGAGAAGAAGCTCTTCGACTACTTTGACCAGGACGTCTTCCGGGACGACCACGGCGCCGCGGTGAGCTCAGCTGCGGGCCTGGGGTGGGCCCAGGTAGGCTCTGCCTCTGCGCCAGGGTGTGGCTGACCCCGGAGGGCCGAGGGACAGGTGGAGGGGACACCGGGCCGGAGGCCACAGGGCAGGGAAGGGCGGGCCTCTGGTCAGCACCCTGCACCCAGAGGCCGGCCTGCGCCCCCTGCCAGCTGCTCCCTTGCCCTTGGGGTCTCTGGGGCAGGTGGGCTGACTGGCCGCGCTCGCCGGTACCAGACTGGCTTTGTGTCAGCGAGTGCGGCCAACGAGCGGGGTCACGCCTGCATCGCGTGCCCAGCCGGGGGACCCCACAGCCTTCCCTGTGTGACCCCAGCTCCTGGCGCACACCTCGGCCTGGGGGAGCACAGGGGTCCTGCCCTCCAGGAGCATGGGGGTGGGGCAGCGCCACCTCAGGGGCACGGTGCCACCCTCTGCCCCCAGGGCAGCGCCCACAGGCTCAAGGAGAGCCTGGCCCCTGCCACCAGGTGTCCAGGGGCTCGGCGAGGACCTCGGGGCACCCTCTGAGGGCACGGGGAGTCACAGGTGCCTTGCCGTGGAGAAACGTCCCGCACTCCCTGGGCTCGCTCACCCCTGAAATCGGGTCCCCTGAAGGGGGCAACGTCAGTCTGAACGTTAGGACTCGCGAGCGGGTCAGCGGCCTGCAGAGAGGACTGCGCTGTCCCCTGGGGAGGAGCAGCCTGCGGGCTGGGCTCCGGGTCGCCCCCACTGGCCACCTCTGCCCGGGGAACGTCGTCCCGCCCCCGGCCTCGCCGGCCACCCCACGGTCGGCTCGGACCACGCGGAGACGCCCGCAGATGGATGTGGCGGCCGGGCCCGTGGCATCCTCCATCACCCACCGTCTTGTACCCGCCTGACAGAAATTTAATTCGAGCTGGCTCCTGAAAATAATCATTGTGTTTTAAGAGCGGTGATGGCCGGGCGTGATGGAGTGCGCCGGGCCTATTGACTGCCGCGTGATTTATGGCGTTGTTGAGTCGATATTCTCATCGAAGCTGTATAATTAATTATAAGTGCGGCTGTCAGGGCTCAGGATGGAGTGCTCTGGCGAGGATTTGGAGAGATTAAATTCCCCGGCCCGTCCCAGGCCGGCTGCCGCGCGGCTGCCAGTAGAGGCCGTCTGCTCAGCGTGCCCGGCGGCCATCGACCCGGCCTCCGTGTGGGGCGGGCCGCCCTGTCACCGTCCCCAGGGCCACGTCGCTGTGCCGGGAGACGCCGAGGTCCGTGTGGCTTTGGTCTCGCGCACGTGCCGTGTCTCATGGTTACCTGAGCAGGATCCCGCGCTGCCTGGCTGGGGCGCCGGCCCGGGCCGCCGCGCGAGGGCCCCCGGTCTGTGTGCACGTCGCCGCCAGCAGACCCCAGCGGGCCCCGGGCGGAGGGAAGCCAGCCCAGCGGGGCGGGCGACCGGCCACCGTGTCCCGCGTCCTGGGCCGCGGCAGCTGTGGGTCGGCACCCCAGAGGCAGTGGGTGGCGGGGCGGGCGTGCTGGCCGGTGAGCTTGGCCCAGCCGAGGCCGCCCCTTCTTCCCGGCCACCTGCGGGCAGCCTGCACACCGGCAGACGCCAGGCCCCCGGGCGCGCCCCGGGCTGGGGTCCCCGGAAGTGACCGTCTCCTGTTTCTCCAGCTCCTGGAGTTTGACAAGGAGCTGTCTGTCTTCAAGGACAGGCTGTGTGAACTGGACATCTGCTTCCCGCCCAGGTAAGGAAACCGCCGGTGCAGGTGGCCCCATGCCTGCCGCGTCGCGCCCACCCCAGGCCTGGGAGCTGCTCCCCCGTTTCCCTCCTGACCGGTGACCCGGGGCCGGGGAGGGAAGAAAAGGCCCCCCGGGCCCCCCACTTGCTCCTTTTCCAGACCCCAGGTGGAGACTCCCGCCCTGCGGACGTGCCCCGGGAGGTCTGGGGGCCGCTGGCGGGGCACGGGGCCGGGCTTGGTTCCCGTCTGGCTCCCTCGGGCTCTCGCTCGCCCGGAGCAGGTGCTGAGCGGGCAGGGCGTCCGCGCCCGCCGTGCTGGCCAGGCTGGGCTGTGCAGGAGGCCCACGCCGCCCTGTGGGCCCCTGGCCCCAGCAGCGTGTGGCTGCGCATTTCTCCCCAGCCACGCAGGCAGCAGGACAGACCTGGGCCAAGCGCCCAGGCCTGGTGGGCAGCGTCGGAGTGAGTAAGGGTCAGGCCCATCAGCGCAGGGACAGGCAGGCTCCCGTGGCCACGGGGTCTAGCAGCTGGCCCGGAGCCGCTGTGGGCACAGACCGTGGGCACACCCCAGCAGGCTGGCCCTCACTGTCCCTGCTGGCTGCCACGTTGGCACCGCAGTGGGCGGGCAGGGCCAAGCTCCAACCCCAGCGCCCCATGCTGGGAGGGACTCCCCTTTCAGCCGGCCCCCGCACCCTACTTGGCCCCGCACCAGGGCTCCCTTCGACTTGGAAACCGTACTTGGGGCCGACACGGACTTGCTGTGAGGCCCCTGACAGCTGCCAGTCTTGAGTCCAGGACTCGGGGCAGTGCCCACCCATGCCAGAGACTTGACCACAGCCAGGGCCGTGGCTCAGGGGCCTCCGGAAGGTGGCGGTTGGGCGCCCCTCTTCAGGATGACCCGGGGGGTGAGGGGGTGACCTGCACAGGGGGAGGCACCGTGCGTCCTCACAGGAAGGGGCATTGGGACCCCACTCCCTGCTTGGTGCCTGAGCGTGCCCCCAGCCCCGGCTGGGCCCCTCACCTGGCTGGGCCCCTGCGCAGACCCCAGGGCGGCTCTCCTGGCCCGCGGTTGGGCTCTGCCCTGGGCAGCCGCAGGCCCCCAATAGCCTCTCGGGGGAGGCTCTGAGCCTTAGGCAGGAGCTGGCCCAGAGGCCGCCCCAGCACCTGGATCTGACAAGGGCCAGTGAGGCCACGTTCCGGCCACGCAGGGGTGGGGGCCGGCAGAGGCCCTGCTGACCTGCCCAGCCTGTCGGCCTCCCGGGGCCACACTGTCGGGAGTCGGGTCAGCCGGCCACTTGGGCACCAGGTGGGTGCCGGCCCCTGGCCCCGAGCACCCTTTGTGGCCATCAGCGTCGAGCCGCTGTGAAGTCAGGAAAATGGTCCGTCTTAAAGTGACAACAGCAAACCTGCTCCTGGGCGTGCGGACGTTTTCAGGGAAAGCGACTGTTCTCTGAAGACCGTCCTTGCGGGAAGGCTCCGCGCTGGCCATGAGTGGCCGCCGTGAGTGGCCGCCCCGAGCTCCGGCCCCGCGGGAAGGTCTGCGGCTGGGGCCTGGCAGCTCCCTGGCCTTCCCCAGCAGAGGAGTGAGCGGCCTCTCCAGGGAGCGGCTGGGGGACAGTCGTTGGCCACGTGGGCGCTCTCAGTTGTCAACAGGGTTCGGGGAACCCGGCTCCCCCAGAGCCCGCAGCACCCCGGCCCCTGGTCCTAGGGATGTGGCAACCGCCAGGGGTGCCCACAGCTGGAGGCCTCACGGTCCAGCAAGGCCCAGGGCACACTGTCTCCAGGGCCCAGGGACATCCCCAGGGGCCCTGGTGGCATGTGGCCGTCAGCCACTGACTGCCCAGCAAGTGGCCGCTGCCCCCCGCATGCCACTGGACTCTGGCTGGGACAGGGCCCTGACTCCACCCCCACCCCTCGCCGGGCGGTCACCACCTCCTCCCCGGCCTGCCCCTTCCCGGGAGGTCAGGGATAGCGTGTTCCTGAGACGCATGTGGAGGCTGCTGTGGGGCCGTAGGCACAGGCTTTTCCTCGGGGACCGGATGGCCCTTCCCCCCGACCCCCAGGGGTCTGGGTCACCCCCAGCAGTGGGCACCTGGCCAGGCCGGGGGTGGGGGGGCGGCCGCCACCCGCCCCTGTGGGGTGCAAAGTGGCTCCGGGTCCCCCAGCCAGCTCAGGGCCCCAGCCATAGCCTGGGGGGGAGGGGCACGGGGCCCAGACAGTCTTTCCCAAGCGTGTTGGTGATGTGATGGCGGCGGCTGGGCTACCTGAAGGCGCCTGACGGTCACCTTCGGCACTGGGATCTCAGGCCCCCAAGAGCCGTGGTTGTCAGGCACCCTGACTCTGGCCCCCTCGGCAGAGCGGCCTAGACACGCGCCTGCCTGCGGAGGAAGGCCCCAGCTGGGCTGGCCACGGACTCCTCACCCCATACTGGTGTCGGGGTCACAGGTGCCCTGGGCGACGGGCCAAGGGCAGCGCCCCCACCATGGCTTCAGGACTGGCTTCTCTGTCCTCCTGAATCACCTTGGACCCTGCGGTCTGCCTGGCACCAAGGCCACACAGGCGCAGCGTCCACGCTCGCCTCAGCCAGGGCCCTGCGGTGGCCCCGAGGTTGGTGCTGTGCGGAATGCAGGCAGCGCGCTCCCCTGCAGGCCCACCCTGGACAACAGGGTCGTGTCCAGACCTGCCATGGCCGGACACACAGCCCCCAGCCCTGTGGACCCGTCTCCTCCAGACGCCTGGGCTGGCCACCTATTTCCCAGGCGAATGTCCCCTCCACAGGGGCCCGGGACCCTCCCCCTGGCCTGTGCCCAGCAGGGACCTTGCCCGCGCGGCAGGGAGCCAGGTGTGAAGGCAGAGGGGGTGGGTGGAGCCGCCTGCTCGGGGAATGTCCTCCCCGGAGACGCTGCAGCCGGGATTCGGTGAGCGCAGACGCCGCGGGCTTGCCCGGGGTCCCAGAAATGTCCCGTAACCCTCCCGTGTCTCCACAGCTACCCCTACAGCGAGGATGCCCGCCAGGGCCGGCAGTACATGAACACCCGCTGCCCTGCCTGGTGCGACCGTGTGCTCATGTCCCCCGCGGCCAAGGAGCTGCTTCTGCGGGTGAGTGTGGGGTCCGGTTTCCCCCGGAGCCCTGCCCCGCCCGGAGCCTGCGCCCCGCTGGGGGCCACGGCCGTCCCCGGGGCCTCGCCGCATGGAGGCGGCAGGTGGGAGCCAGCATCTCCTGCCCAGGGCCCCCGGGCAGCCTCTGGGGCCCAGCCCGAGCTGCTTCCGCCGCGGCCCCGGCCAGCGAGCAGGTAAAGGCTCCGCTGCAGCCCCGCCCGCCCGCACAGCCTCATCCATCAGCCACGCCTGGTCGCCCCCGCCTCAGCCAAGGCGGGGCGCTCGCTGAGGTGTGCCCGCCCTGCCGTCTGCGCCTGTCTCCAGCCCGTTCCGCGCCGCCTGCCTCGATTACCGCGCTGATGCTGACGCTCGCCTCCTGCTCCCCGCAGCCCCCCATGCCTGGCGCGGAGGCAGATCCGCCCCGAGCCCCCGGGGCTCTGCGCAGGGAGGTCGTCACCTGCGACCACATCGGGCCGGACGTCTGCACGGGGCTCCCTGCCGCCAGAGCCGCGGCGAGGGCAGCTGCAGGGAGCCCAGGCCTGGCCTGGGGCAGGCTGAGCTGGCCCTGCTAGTCCGGGCTAGTGGGCCCTGGCGGGCGGGCGCGTCCGCTGGGGTGGGCCGGAGAGCATGGCCCCCTCGCCAGGCCAGGGGCGGGGCTGTCAGGACAGGCACCGGCGGGCTCCCCACGGCCTCCCCTCTGTTTGCTTTCCCAGTCGGAGAGCGAGGAGAAGGTCGTCACCTACGACCACATCGGGCCGGACGTCTGCATGGGGGACCACAAGGTGACGCGCGGGCGGCCCCTCGTGCCCAGGTGGCCTCACCGCCGGGCGGCCGGGCTGTCCACCCGCTGCTGGGCGAGGCGCGGGGCGGGCGGGGGCGGAAGGCGGGCAGAATGAAGCGCACGATTGGACTCTCGGTGAGGACTGCCGCGGCCGCAGCCCACGGGCCCGGGCGGGCCGGCCGCGGGGCGGGCCGCGGTGGGGGGGCCCCGGCCGCCGCCCGGAGCTGACGCGCTGTCCCCCGCAGCCCGTGTTCCTGGCCTTCCGACTCGCGCCCGGGGCAGGTAAAGCGCGCGCGCGCGTGCACACGTGCTGTGTGGTGCAGTGACGGCGGTAAATATGCCCCCCCCCGCCCCCCGCGAGCCCCCCGCGCGCGTGGGCCCGTGACGAGCCGCCCCTTCCCCGCAGGGAGGCGGAGCCCGCGGCCCGAGCGGCCCCCGCGAGCCCCCGGCGCACACCCCGGCCGCCGCCGCCCCCGTAGCCCCAGCCGCCGCGCCGGCCACGCTGCGCTTCCACCGGACGCGGACGCCGCACATACCTCGCCCGCCGCGCCGCCGGCGGCACCACTGCCAGGGCCCGTGTCCGCATCACGCTGCAGCCGCTTTCCATTTTTATATATAAATATATATAGATATATACTTTTTAAAGATAATTTATAAATCTTACCAAAACGTATGCTAAGTACACCGTCCAGCCCGCCCCGGCCGCCCGCCCTGCCCAGCCCGCCCAGCCCGGGCGCCGGCCGGCGGGCGCGCAGCGAGCGGTGCCCCCAGGACTTGCGAACCGTCTGTCTGTCTGCGTCATGTTCTATGGTGCCGAGTGTCCTGCATTAAAACAGTAATACCCGGGAGGAGAGAGACGGCGGCCTGCTGCCCGCGCGGCCGCGGCTGTGGCCCACCCCGAGGGCGCCTGCTCCCCGCCCCCCCAGACACTACAGACCCGGCGGCGAGGGCCGGCGGCGAGGGCCGCGGTGGGCGTCCAGCCCCAGCTGCCCCGCCCTGCCGCAGCCCCGCCGCCGTCCTGGTCACGGGTCTCAGCTGTGGTCACTTCGGAGGCCTTTAGAAATGACCGTTTTGGTTCCTAAGCAATAAAATTGACCATGGAGAAACAGCTCTGCCTGGGGTGTTCCTTCGCCCCGCCTGCCCCTCCCGCCGCGCGCCCGGGTCACCCTGGTGGGAGCCGACGGGTCCCCTCGCGCCGCGACGGGGTGGGAGCAGCCGGGACACGCACCTGCGCCTTTGTCAGGGCGGCCCAGGCCGGGGTGCCCGCGCCAGCAGCGGGCGCGGGGCGTCCTTGTCGCGGCTGTCCGGCTGCCCGGCGTGGGCGGGGCCCAGGGAGGGGCGGGCCGAGCCGGGTGCAGCCGCCCTGGCCCCTGGCCCCGCGTCGAGCCCCCTTCTCGGGACCGCGCGGCCCGGCGGGGCCCAGGTGCGCGCCGGCGCTTTAACAGGGAGGCCCGGGAGGCGGCCCGGGAGCAGGGCGGGGCGCCCCTCGCCTCCGGGACGGGGAGGCCCGGCAGGGCGGTTGCGGGGGGGCCGCCCCTTCCGGGCGCTCGGGGCGCTGAAATCTGGCCCGAACCCCACCGTCTGCCCGACCCCGCCGCGGGCCCGCGGTCCAGAGGGTGTCGGGGCGCGGGCGGCGCCGGGAGGCTGAGCGCGGGCGGCGCCTGCGCCCGGCCCGGGGCCCTCCCCGGCCTTCGCGGGGTCCGGGGCGCCGGCGGCGCGGGGTCCGGGCGGCGGGCGGCGCGGGCGGGCCGGGCGGGCCGGGCCGGGCGAGGAAAGGACACGCGGAGCAGCGCGGGCGCCGGGGCGGCCGGACGGGCTCAGTGTTTATTGACCAGGGAGGGGCGGCCGGGCGCGCGGGCCGGGCCGCGCTATAACTTACTCTGTAAAAATATATACACGCGCGGCCCGCGCCCCCGCTCACGACGCGCCCCCCGCGCCGGGGCCGCCCGCGCTGGCGAGCGCGGGGCGCGCGGGCTTGTGCCGCCGGAGCAGCCGCGCCACCTTCTCGGCGTCCGAGTCGGGGTCCAGCGGGCGCGTGTACTCGTCGTCCTCGGCGTCCGAGCCGCCGCCCTTCAGCCGCTCGGCGTCCGAGTCCTGCCGCCTCTTGGCCGACGCCATCTCCGCGGCGTGCCGCTTGCGCCACTTGGTGCGGCGGTTCTGGAACCACACCTGCGGGCGCGGGGGCGTGAGGCGCGCCCCGCCCCGCCCCGGCCCGCCCCGGCCCGCCCCGGCCGCGCCCGGCGGCCCGCTCACCTTGCCCCGGCGGCCCCTCACCTTGACCTGGCTCTCCGTCATGCCCAGCGAGTAGGCGAGCCGCGCGCGCTCGGGCCCCGCCAGGTACTTGGTCTGCTCGAAGGTCTTCTCCAGCGCGAAGATCTGCTGGCCCGAGAAGGTCGGCCGCGAGTGCTTCTTCTTGCCGTCCTTGTCCAGCGCCGCGCCGGCCTGGGCTGAGAGGGGGCCGGTGAGCGCGGCCGGCCGCCCCCGCCCGCCCCCCGCCCGCCCGCCCCCCGCGCCCCCCGCCCGCCCCCCGCGGGCCACCTACCCGGGCCGGCCAGGCGCGGGTCCCTCCAGGGCGAGCCCTGCACCACGCCGGGCCAGAAGATGGGCGCGCGCCCGGGCAGCTCGGCCAGCGGCTTGGGGTAGCCGCGCGCCACGGCGGCCGCGGGCCCGAAGTAGACGCCGGCCGACGAGGCGAGCCCGCCGAGACGGGGCAGCCCGCCCAGGAGGCCGCCGCCCGCCGCGCCCACGGGCCGGCCCAGGATGTCGCTGATGCCGTGCGGGGTCCCGAGCGGCAGCGGCGCGCCCAGGCCGCCCAGCGCGGGCGCCTTGAAGCCGGCGGGGCCCTGCAGCGCGTAGGGGAACAGCGACGTCTTCATCTCGGCCATGTTGTGCAGCGCGGCCAGCGGCGCGCTGCCCAGCACGAACGCGCCCGGGCGGTTAGCGTCCATGGGCGCCGCCGCCGCCGGCCCGGGCGCCCATCCGGGCCCCGCCGCGCCGCCCGCCGCCGGCCCGAGGGCTTGGCGCGGCCGGGCGGCCCGGCTGCAGGGGGCGCGGGCGCCGACGGCCCGGGGCGCGGCGGGCGCGGGCGGCGCGGGCGGCTCGGCGGGCGCGGGCGGTCCGGGCGGCGGGCGGCGGGCGCGGGCGGCTCCGGGGCCGGTCGGAGCGCGCGGCGCGGGCCGGGCGCGCAGATAACCGCGGGGCCCCCGCGCGGCGCGCGCGCTGATTGGCCGCGGGCGCCCGCGGCCCGGCCATTGGCCCGCGCCCCGCCCGCCCGCGCGCCCCGCCGGCCGCGCACTCCATGAAGGGCCCATTAGCGCGGCGGGCGCTCGCGGGCTGTAAATTCGCCCCCTGATTTATCTCCCCAGGGACGAAATAAATCCGGCTGGATGGGAGTTTAGTTAGGCAAAGGTTTTAATGGGAAATCAGGAAAAAATACGAGAACATATTTTATGGCCTGAAGGCATGCAGATTTGAGGACCCGCGCGGCGGCTCCGGGCGCCCCATTGGGCGAAGAGCCGCGGGAGGCCGGGCGCGGGGAGCCGGCGCGCACCGTGCAGGGTGCAGCCCGCGCCCCGCCATCGATTCCCCGCCGCGCGGGCGTGGGCTGGGGCGGCGGGGAGGGAGCAGGGCCGCGGATGCCTCCGGAGAGCGCTCGGGCGGCCGGCCGGCTCGCACGCGGGACCCGGGAGTCCGCGCCCACTCCAGGCGCGCCGACCTGTCCCGGGGCCACCGGCGACGGCTGGCGCGGGGCCGCACGACAGGCCGCCCCCTCGCGCTGCCGGCTGGAGGGCGCCCTGGCCTCGCCCAGCCCTGGGAGCCGTCCCTTGCCGGGACGCGAGGCCTGCGGTTCTGAGCCCGCGCCGGGTGCTTCCCAGCGGCGAAGTCACAGCTCGGTTCCCGGGAGGCAACCCCGGCGGAGCGGCGGCCCCACCGGCGCCCAGGCCCGGGGCCCAGCGGCTCCCTGCGGACGCGCGGCCGCTCCCCGCCTGGAGGCCCGCGGGCCGGGGCGGGCCGGGGGGCACGTTCAGCGTCCTGAGTGGGTCGGTGTCCGAAGCGCAGGCCCGGAGCCCCAACCGCGCTCGGGCGCGGGAGCCCGTGTGTCGTCTCTGGACAAAGAGGCCCCCACCCAGTTCCCATAGGTCGCCGAGGACTCCCGCGCGGGGAGCAGGGCAGGAGGGCGCGGCGCGGTGCCCGGCCCGCGCGCGGCGCGCAAGGTGGGTAGCGGCTCCGCGGGCCCGCCCGCTGCCCCAGGGGCGCGGCGCGTGCGGAGGGGGCCGGCTCGTGGCGGGGCGGGCGGGCGGGAAGGCGCGCCGGGCGGGACGCTCCCGACGCGGTGCGCCCGGCAGCAACGACTTTCCCGCTTCGCGCGTGCCGCCGGGGTCCCGCGGGCTGGGAGCGGGGCGGCCCCCGCGGCTCTGCGCGAGGACCCAGGGTGCGCTCGCACACGACCCTTGGGGCGCCATTTTCGTTTGGGGCGCAAAGCGCAGGGTCCCCCGAGCGAGTGGGAGAGCCACGCGCCGCGGTCGGGCCCCCCCGCCGCTGTGTGCACGCGCCTGGCGGGCGGGTCCGCTGCTGCCTGCTGGCCGGGCCGTCGCGGGGTGCGGGCGTCGCTGCCCCGAGGCTTCCCCCCCAGCGGAGCCGGCGCGGGTCTCTGGGCGCGGAGGTTGGCGCCGTCCAGGGAGGGGCCGCAGCGTGAGCCCCGGAGACCCGCCCCCGGGGACGGTCCCGCGCGGCCTTGCCCCCCCCCCCCCCGGGGCTCCCGGCGGGGGGCGGCGGCCCTGGCGGGGCGGGGGCCGGGGTCGGCCCGCGCCCTGCGGAGCCCGCCGCGGCCTCTCGCTTGTCCGCGTCCGAGGCGCTCGGCTCCAGGCACACCCTGGCGCCCCAGCCCTGTTTTAGCTCCAGGGAAAGGCTCGTGGGGGTCTCTCTCCGCTCCCCGGCCCTGCACGAGTCCCTCATGGGGCTGCCCACTGGCCCCAGCGCCAGAGGTGGTTTGGGGTGCCGGGGGTGAGTTGGGCCGTTCTGAATGTGGGGTGCTTCGGGGGATTCCGTCCTGCCTGGCGCTGGGCTCCCGGCCTGCAGGAGGCCCGCCCCTCCCAAGTGCCCCGGGGGGCCTAAAGCCTCTCAACTCCTCCGGTGCCTCTAACCCGCGCTCCCCTGACCAGGCTGCCCCGCACCCCTCTCCTGAGACCCCAGGCGCCGCCCTCCTGCCGGGAGGGGAGGCCTCGGGGGCCCGCCGCCCAAGGCTCCGCCAGCCCCGATGCCACGAAGGAGGCCGCGAGCACCTGGGGAGGCCGCGAGCACCTGGGGAGGCTGCGGGCACCTGGGGAGGCCGCGGGCAACTGGGGAGGCCGCGAGCACCTGGGGAGGCGCGCTCGGGCGAGTGGCCCAGCGCCCCTCGCCTGCAGGCGCCCTCCCTCGCCGCGAGCCCCGCG